ACTCATTTATAGTATTTTTAGATTTACGTCTTTTACTATTAAATTGAGACATTATCAAAATTAGCCTTCATATTTTGATATTCTTCGACACAGTTTCAAACAGAGAATATTAATGCTTTATTTGGCAATTTCATTACTGAGTATATATAACCGTCAAACTAATATTTTAAACCTGGGGTAGAGTGGCAATTTCAATATTCAAATACCTGTCTGTGTGTAAAATTTTGATCTCAAATTACGCCCAACTTTGAGTAACACTAAGGAATAACCAGGTGTTGCATGTGATTCATAATGAAGAAAAAAAAATCCATAATGATAAACGGCATTGAACATGAACATTCTCTCCGCTCTCCAAAGTAGAAAGAAAAAACATTCCTTGATCGATCAATCAAAAGACAAAATATAATGAAATCAGAAATAGTGTCTTGACTTGCTGGAAAAGCAGATATTGTGTCCTGCCATTGAAGTTGCAGCATTATTAAAAGCCTTGACTCAACGGAGACATTCTGGACTGAGTTGCATCTGAATAGAAACTTTGCATAAAGTTCAAGAAAATGATTCTGTGCCGCCCTACATAGTTCAAATTAGCCGGAAATTGTCTTCAAAAGGTTGTTGCATTCCACGTTTCCCACATCAACATGGAAAAGAAATTACTACGCTCTTTGCACTCCATGTACGTATTTCATGCTACACGATGCTTATTATTACGGAGATTTTAAAGAAACCATGCTATTTATTCAGATTAATGAACTTTTACTGTTAACAATAAAAATATGTTGTTATATAATTATACGTCAACTATTTTACATAATTATTTTTTAAAAATAGTAGATATAGAAAAGTATTGGAAGCTATGATGACAACTTCTACTTAGATAAGTTGTTATCATGACATAAAAAAAAAGTTGCTATATTTTTCGTATGAAATAAAAATCAAGTTTTTTTTCGTCACTGTTCTTATCACTTCCCAACTTATGATCAAATCAATTAGTTCGATGTTAATAGTAGAATACTTTAGCTTTACCATTAACATGGAACTAATTGATTTTATCATAAGGTTTTAAATAAACTTGACAAAGCTGGGATTGGTTATTTAATTTTTTATTTCGTTTGTTTTTTACAAGTAATCCAAATTTATAAACCTTGATTTGGTTAAAAAAAAAAACATTTACTCGTGTAGTTTTTTGTTTTATTTGTATGATTGTGAAGTTTTATTTCGAAATCTTCTTGTTCCAGGCGAAGTTCAAATTAAAGACTCGATAATAGGATTGCAAAAGACGTAATATAAATATGAATAATAAACTAATAAAATTCAATACAGAAGATAAATAATTATAAAAATACGTTGATTAGGGTTCAAGTTTTTACTATAATATGAAAAGAGAAAAAAAACTTTGTTGATAAAGGCAAAATTCATTTTAATGATCTCTATACTTAATTGAAAAAATAGTCTTGATACACATAAAAAATATATATGAATAATGAAGTTTAATACAAATTAAAATAATTATATATATATTATTGTACGTAAATTAATAAATAAAAATTATTTAAATTTAAGATGTAATTTCAACTTTGAATTCTAATGACTTATTAATAATATTTACTAATATGATTGCTAAGGCATGAATAAATGAAAATTTAAGTAACCGTATTTTTTTTTTATAGGCTAAAAATGAATTAAAAATGACGAAAATCATACAAGTGATTGTTTTAACTCTCATTTTATCCCATACCAAAGGACTTATTACATTAATTACTTTATGAGTAATATTGTTTAGGTTAAGTTAGAATAAACTTATAAATGAGTATTTATAAGGGAAAATTTAATGTAAAGTAAATAAATTATCTTCAACAAGTTAGAAATAGATTATATTTTTTATTTTAAAAAATTATTTAAATTTTTAAAAATTTAAAAAGATAAATAATTTTTAATTTATAAAAATCATTATTCATTTTTATACTATTTTTTCTTTTATAAAAATTTTAAAAAAATCAAACTAAGTCCCAGTATTCGAATTCTAGGGTTGAAAAAAGCATAACATATAATTACAGCAAATAATCTTCCATTGAAATTCTAGGGTTCTACAAGTAAAGTTCGTAATGGTATCAATATGCAAATTTGTTACCTTGTTACAGATATTGTATCATTCCTGAATTTTCTTATATAAGCATAAAAAAAAAAGAAATTAATTTAAAAAAGTGTTCTTTAGAGTTTCAACTTCAAGCATGAAGTCCTTGGATAATTAATTAAAATCACATAAGAAAGCCAGTACGTTTAAGGAGAAGAGATTGAAGGTTAAGGATACATAACACTTTAATTTCTTTAATGAGGTATACCACGGTACTCATACATCATTTGAAAGAAGCTGCTGATGGCATGGTTCCAAAGTAAAGCTTTGAGGGAAGCAATTTAAACCCTTCTCAGCTGAACCAATCCCATTGAATGTAAGTGATCCCTTGCCAACATTTGTCATTTTGTGCATCTTCTTTAAATAAAAAAAAAATTCACATTAAAGAATTACATACCGAGGATGCTATGATGAAAAATGGTTTTTTTTTTTTTTTTACAGTAAAACAGATACGAATTATTTTCATTTTTAATTGAGAAAATATTTAAAAATAAGCACATATATATAGATAAAATAAATAAATAATATAATATAATATAATATTAAATATATAAAATCAATTATCGGATGATAACATGGAAAATGAGTAGTGGGCTGTCCACAGTATCCATAATGGAGTCAACCCACGCTCAACTAAACCAGAAAGCCCTGCAAATTGATGGGCCCACATTTTACACGTTCCATGTTCGTGTTCACTTCGACATTCTTTTTTCATAGCCACTGGCGTACACTGTGGATGGTACCATCAAGGACTGGCTGCACCCGCGGCAATTCTGAACAGAAACGAATCATTTATTTTTTATATATATAATTGTTTTTTAATTATTAAATAAACATATAAAATATTTTTAATATTTTAAAATAATGAGAAGAAGAGTATTAAAAATTAAGAAAATAAAAAAAGTCTAGTCAAATACATTGGTTTCTCTTTGAGTGTAACAAATAAGGATGTGTCTGTTGTTATTTAAATATATTTATTTTAAAAAAATTAAAATGGGAGTAGATATGTATATGTAACAATAGATGTTCCTAACAAATAAATATAAATATCCATTGCGATGTTGGAGCATGTCACTAGCACAATTTCCCTTGCGTCCCAATCAAACCGTAACAAGTGTCTGCGTGTCTCGCCCACCTGTCACTCGTGTGCCCAGCAGGTTCCACTGCCCACAAGCACAACTTTCCGCGCATGCTCATTTTCTAATTTCCCAATTTTATTCTTTTTAAATGGATTTTCTCAAGTGAGGATAATTTTTGACAAAATAGAAAATATGAGTATATTTATGATAATAAATAATTATTAACAATAATTTTAATTCTTCTTACTTTTGTTTTAATTTCTGACTCTTCCGAAATATGGCTAACTTGAGCAACGCTGACGACAATTGTCCCAACAAACTTAAAACATGTTTGTCAACTTATTTTGTAAATTGTGTTAATTTTTTTTTCAAAAAATTGATTCTGATGAGTCTAAGAGCACTTTTAGTGTTGGAACTCAAATGGATTATTAAATTTATTTTATGTAAATTTTACTGTGTTACGTGTTTAAATTTTTTTTTTTTTTACTTTAGTAGTAGAACTACAATTTGAGTTCTTGAATTATTTTTTATAAGTCTTATTAAAATATTATATCATTTGTTTAAAATTAAATTTAACATTGAGAAATAGTGCAATTCTCTGTAGTTTTTGGTGAAGTACTGTTCCTCCAACATGGAGCACTTTTACTAGTGATTATTAGCTTCAAAGTTTCATCTAATGTTGATCACAAAATTAATAGTAGATGTTTAAAATTAACTATCAATCATGTTAAAATAAGTAGCAAGAGAGAAAAAAAACTAAAAGGTATTAATATTAAAATGAATGTAACATATTAATTTTAAAAGAAAAAATAGTATAATTTAATCATCACTTAAGAGAGAATAGTTTACCTTAATTTATTATCTATAAAGATTGTGAGTGGCTTCCGTTTTTTAATATAGAGATGGATTTAGTTGAGCATTTTTTGGAACTATAGTAGTTATTTTTAATGTTAACGAAAGACAATTTTGAAAAAGAAAATTTATAAAAAAAATGTTAAAATGGTGTGAATAAAAATACAAAGAATAATTTTCTTATTGAAATGCTAATAATCCAATGCACAATCGGATACGAGATTTAAGATTCACTTAAATGCAAGCGCTTGCATGTTCAATGATTCAGTTACATTTGTTACACGAAATTACAAATAAAGGAGTTGTCCTTTCCACTTTAAGGATCTAATTATTCATAAAACATTTGTTGTAGGAAATTACAATTAATGAGTTATGGTCCCTACTTTGAAGATCAAAATTTTTTTACACTTAAATCATGTTAGACCATGAGTAAATTTTTTTATAAAAAATAAATAAAATTTTTGTCATAAGTCAGGAATCTTGAAGAATCGCTTTAATATTAAAAAGATGTATTACCTACACGTTATTTCATGAGATATATAATTTATTTTTCTATTGTTACTATGTTGGTAGTGGTGTAATTACTAACTTAATGCTAAAGTACTTTTGCAGGTAACTCAACCTCGAATATTCCAGTGTTCTACTAGAATAGAATTGTGATTGACATACGTTGGGTTCATTCTCTTTGGGCCAGTGAAGTGACACTAGATTAATTATCTTAAAAAAAATAAGAACATTACAACATAGTTAACATAACTATAAATTAATAATTAGATCAACAAAAATTGTATTTTAAATAATTTAAATTATAGAAATTAAAACTACGGTTAGTGAAAAAAAATAGACAATTTATACAAGAAACTTCAGTTAATGAAAATTAAATCATTATTGATGGAGTTCGAGTAGCTATAAAAGCCAGTTAGTGCCGCTATAAGAAACATAAAATTGTTTAGTACTTCTTTCGTCTTTTAATTTAACAAAACATGGGTGAGGCTCCTGAGGTGTTTTACATCAATGGGTTCCCAAAGTTTGGTCATGAAACGGAACAACACCTCACCGATGATCCAAACCATGATTGTTCCTGGTACGAGGAAGTTATCGACGATGATCTCAAATGGTCTTTTGCACTAAACAGGTTCGTCATTCCTCTTGCGATTCACCACCCCAAATCAATTCGAAAATGTTACAACAGAAAGAAGCTACTACCTCATAAATAACAATGACTACTATCGTTTTCGTAATTTCGATCGACTTTGGGTTCGTTTGATTAAAAAACCAACTCATTTATGTTTTCCATCATTTTGAATAGTGTGCTTCACAGAGGGATTAGCGATTACCAGGAGATAGCTCTTCTGGATACAAAGCGTTTTGGAAAGGTTTGAGTTGCCACTCCTTCTACTTCTTCTTTATGGACAAATACATGTACAAAATTCTGCGTCTCCTTTCTCCTTTGTAGTATTGAGAAAAAGAGGAGAGGAAAAAGTTTATGTTATGCATGTGATGATTTTTTATTTTTATGTTTTGGTTGCATTAGGCCTTGGTGATTGATGGGAAGATGCAGAGTGCAGAAATAGATGAATTCATTTATCATGAATGCTTGATTCATCCCCCTCTGTTATGTCACCCCAAGTAAGTTTTTATGATAGCGGTAACATTTTATTATTAAAAATATTAGCTTGAGTCTTGATAAATTATTAAAAATGATAATTTTTTATTGCAAAATTAATTTATCATCTTAAGAATATGAAAATATAATAAATATTATGTGTTTTTAATAAAAAAAAGTTATTTTTTGTTACTTAAACTTCATACTAAGGCTAACAAAACTGAAATTTTATTTATATCTTGATGGTGACTCAACTTCTCTTAAATATAAATTTAATTTAAAAATATTTTTAATATATAAATATTATTTATTTAATAATGTATTGTCGCATTATCAAATAATAAAAAATTCAAAAAGATGCAGAAATCTGCTTTAATTTCTAGCTATAGAAACTTAGAAACGAGCAGTGTCCAATTAGTAATGATGAAAAATTTTGAAGAAATTCACCCAAGTTGCAAATTGTGTAAAAACGTCAAATTAGGTTAAAATTTATTTTAAATTTTCTAAATTTTTTTTCCAAAGGCATGATTTAAATTTGGCTTACTTATTCAACATAATCCTTTTTTAATTTATGATATGACTTTTTTAAAAAGTTATGAAAACTAAACCTCTATTTAATGGTTTACTTTGAAATATAATCTTTAAATAAGTTAATAGACTTACATCTAAATCTATTCATGAGTTTAAATAGTTAAACAAAGTAAATGTATTGAGAGAATTTTTAAGAAAAAATAAGTTCTATTACTAAAAGGTGAATCCACACATGCCCTGCGAAGTATATAATTTTAATACATTATAATAAAAAATGAAATATATATAACAATGATATTTTGCATATATTTACTTAAAAAGGTTATTCTATACTCAAAGTGACAAGATTGTAATGAAAGATTGTAGTCTCAAGTGAGCTTAACTTATAACATTAGGAGCTCAAATTCGAAAATCACCATTTCCAGCGGTTTTATAACTATATTTGTGAGCATGCCTAATCAAATACCAAAAGTTAGTCGGTCAAAACTTAAAAAATCTTTTCGATTATCATAATTTTGATTTTTTAGTTATATATTTTTAATAAGTTTTAACTTAATTTGTTTAAGAAACAAGTTAAGCTAGAGTAGATATGGATCATAAATCTAAAGCTAGACTTACTCTTACCCCTTGTCTCTACAAAAATATGTTTTTCATTTTTATTCTATTTGATAAATATCATGGTAAATGCTAGGATATTGCTTTATATATATTCACTCATACTATAATTTTTAATTCCTTAGCTATTGTCCTAAAAATACTAGATACCGTTATCCTAAAATAATTCACACAAGCAAGATGCCAATATGCTCTTACAGATGTTATTTTCATAAATTATGTAATGAGGTGACAACATTTAACATAAGATTACGCTTCTTAGTGGGGTCGATTGGGCTTTTTGTGGGAAAGAATGTTTGAACTTTGAACCCTTTGACTAATATAAGGGGCACATGTCGCTTGTTGTGGCAGCCCCAAAACATTGTTTATAATGGGAGGTGGCGAAGGGTCTGCTGCTAGGGAAGCCCTCAAGCACAAGTCAATGGAGAGAGTGATCATGTGCGACATAGACCAGGTTATTACTTATTACCATACCCATTATTACTCTTCAGCTTAATCATGCTCGGATCAAGTATTCACATTTCAACCATTAATACTTGCAGGAGGTCGTAAATTTCTGTAGAAAACACTTGACTGTAAACAGGGAGGCCTTTGCTCATAAGAAGCTCGACCTTGTCATCAATGATGCCAAGTAATTATCTTTCCCTTGTGTTTTTGTTTTTCTTATTAGAGATTGCAAAATGAGAGATACTAATTATTATTCTCATTTAGTGTGTTTTTTTTAATAAATTTAAATTAAATACCTTAACAACGAAATCTATGAGCCTAATTAATTAGTACTTGATGGGTGTCTTTTTGAAGACAGGTATAAATATCTTTCGTTGTCAGCTTCGCTTTTGTTTTCCATTTTTTCAGTTGTTCTTGGCCCCTTTGAAAGCTAAGCCAATAGGTCATGTCTGGCCAATTTTTTTTTATTCTTTATACAATAATCATTGTTTATGTGATTTCAAAAGCTCTCACCATTACCAGTCCTTCAAATTTCCTTCAAATTTCGAAACAAAAGGTTGCACTCTCACCGTGGGAAAGAGTGTGATCTTTAATTAAATGGTGATCCAACCTTAAGGATCTGGCACGAGCTGCTGTAGTCTTCCGTTTACTCAAGTACTACAAAGCCTAGGATGGGGGTAAAATTCATACCAAAGCCAAAGGCTATCCAAAATTTAAATGAAATAAAATTAGCATTTTGTTTTTGTTTGGGTTGATAAATATTTGAACCAAAAGAGATTTTCTCATTCGTTCACAATTCTGTTTAAATAGACTTATCATTCAGGCAATACGATGGTCATTTTAAAAAATTTATATAAATACTGTAATGTATGAACGGAACTTAAGACATTTATGGTTTGTTTGGATGAGAAGTAAAATAAAGAGGAATGAAATAAAAAAATTTAAATGAAAAAACATAAATAAATAATAATAATAAGAAGAAGTAAAAATGGTGTATTGTTTGGATAAATAGAAATAAAATAAAATAAAATAAAAAGATTTACTTTCGCTTGCTAGGATTAGCGAAAGTGATAATTGAAAAAATTGATATAAATTTTTTAGTTAAAAATTAATTTAACTTAAAAAATTGATTATTTTATTATATCTTTTGTGTTAATATCAAATCATTATTTTTTTTATAATTTTTCTATAAAATATTAATTTTATTTTCAAACAATTAAATAAAAAATAAGACAAAAAATACATATGCGCACTCACTACCTTTAACGCTTGAGTAGAAGAGAAATACTTTTGCGAGTCCCACAAAAATGTCTATATTTCTTCTCTCAATTTCAATACAACCAAACTACTGAAACGTTGCAAATCTCTTCACTTCAACCTCAATTTCAACCCTCTTAATTTCAGCTAAATCAAACTTAACACTACTGTGTGTTACTCTTATCTCATTATTTAATGTATGAAAAGGTTTAAGCCAACCCTTGTTACATGATTTAGGTTGATAAATTTGTAAGTGAATTTGAGTATAATAATAATTATAATAATAATATGCACCTTTCTGGATTTCATGGAGGTTTTTTTTTTTTTTAATGAACAAGGTTTCTTGTTTAATGAAACTAAAATTTCAACGATATATTGCATTGTAGGGCTGAATTAGAGAAGAGAAAGCAGAAATTTGATATCATTGTTGGAGATTTGGCAGACCCTGTTCAAGGTGGGCCATGCTATCAACTTTATACCAAATCCTTCTATGAAAATATCCTGAAGCCCAAGCTCAATGCCAATGGCATTTTTGTGACCCAGGTAACTTTCCTTTAAATGCCCTTTATGTCCCGACTTCCTATAAGCTTTTGGACCGACTTCTTTGTATTTGTTAAAGAAACAATGTTTGTAATTAAAAATAGATTTTATGATAATAAGACGAGTTTTTTTTAAAAAAATGATTTTAATTCCTTTTATCTAAAATTAAGAAAAGTAGCTTTCTAAAAAATCAGAAATCAGTTTTTTTTTCCTTTCAAAACAATCTAATAAGGAAATTTTAACACCACCATCCCCCCCCCCCCGCTTTTTTTCTTCAGAAAAGGGCAGTAATATTCATATTTAATACCTTTTTATTTATAACAAAAAAAAAGGTGTGTTTAAATTGCTAAATATGAATATTGCATGAAATATAAAATATAAACACCTTTTTCCTAAACATAAATAAAATATGAATATTAATGCCATCAACTCTGAAATCTTCTTAAGCCTTTATCACATGAAATATAAACACATCAATTCTTGAAGAATTTGACAATAGAATTTCACGTAGCAATCCTCTTCTCAAAATTTATCCAAAACTATTTAGCATGCAGTTAATAATATTATTAAAATAACGTCTCCTCATCGTATCTTGCACAGGCTGGACCGGCAGGTATCTTAACACACACAGAGGTCTTCACTTCTATATATAACACAATCAAACAGGTCTTCAAATGTAAGACTTTAATTCAATCCATTTGCTCTGAGGAATCAAATTCAAATACTGTTTATGTCAACAGAACACTAGTATATTGACATATGTGTTATGGTTCTTCCCTAAGATTTGTTTTTCTTATGTTTCTTTGCAGATGTGATGGCATACACAACTCATGTACCATCTTTTGCTGATACATGGGGATGGGTTATGGTAAGCAAGAAAAATGCTAGCAATGTACTCTTTCAAATACACTTCACGTGATTGATCTATTTCTTAAGAAGTTAAAGCACATTCCTGGTACAATTACTTTGATTTAAAAAAAAAAATTAACTAATAAAAAAAAGTGTTAAAAGAGTGTGTTAAAAATTTGTGTAAGTTACTCAGTAATAAGCAAAAGACAAATCTTTGCTTGTGTTAATTGTAACTTCTTGTTATGAATATTCATATACTTTAAATCCAGGCTTCAGACCAACCACTATTCATTGGTGCTAAGGAAATGGACAAAAGAATTAACGCAAGAATAAATGGGGAATTGCTCTACCTAACTGGCGATTGGTTCCAGTCATCTGCCACCATGAATAAGACTCTTTCAACTTCGTAAGTAAATTTTCTTTGCAATTTCTCACATTCAAAAGCCAAGATCTCTACACAATGTAAGACCTTTGTTAAACTTAAACAGTTTCATGAATGAATAACCAAGACCGTATAAAATCAAAGTCCTCACTAAAATGTATTGAATCTTGACTTCAGAATCACCGTTGTTTCAGGCTTCAGAATGAAACCCACGTGTACACGGAAGAAAATGCTAGATTCGTTCCTGGACATGGCGTGGCTTATCGTCTCTGAGGTTTTTTCAATCCAAATCTTGAGGATAATTTCATGTATACTTTGTTGTGCTGAGTGTAGAATTAACCTCAAAAGTAACGTGCGGAAACAAATTCAATCTTTCATGGCACGTTATGTTTTGAGGAATTCCGTACAAACACTCAAAAAGTATGTAAGAATTTGAATGAGTGGAGCCCTAAAATAAAATAAGTAACAACGTAAATTAAGAATTGAATCAACGATTTACAATTAATTGTTTCATCTGTTTGCGTCTATGTACTTGAGTTTGGTTCATTGGATTCGAGTGATGAACTCATGACATGTTTCTTCTTACTATGAATTCAGTTTTTAACGCATTCCTCTATTCAGAAATCAGATAATAGTTAATTAAAGTTTTAACAGATAATCTGTGAGGTTTCTTTCTACATCACAAACCGGAACCTCTTAGCAGGATCACCCATTAAGCAAAAGCACATCGAACTATGAAGATTGAAGTTGCCTATTATTACCATCACCCCTCCTAACCAAAGCAATTATATTAAAAAAAAAAATTAATTTCAACCCTTAAAGGCAAAGTTTAAATATTTAAAAATACATTTAATGTATTAAATTTGTAAAAATATAATAATTATATATCTCTTTTAAAAATTTTAGTGTTATTAGTTATCTACACTCAATCTTACAAGGTGACATATGAAAATAAGAAGTATATGATTAATAGAAAATAAAGTGCAGCTGGGATTTAGTCAATAGCAGAACCAGTTGCATAAACATAAATATAACAAAAAGCAGGAACAATGAAAAGGACAGAGAAATCAAAAGCAATATTCATTATTCAGGCGTAGTTTTAAGTTCTCTTAACCGGATCAAAGTTGGAAACGCCAATAACAGCTCCAAATATGGCTCCAAGCACAACCCCACCAGCAAAAATGCTGAGTAGAAAGTTCTTGAGAGATGGGGTGAGATCAGATCCTGCAGCATGAGCCACCTCAGGAATAACCATAGAAGCTGTGAAGGAAGCAGTTGTAATTGCTGTCAGTGCCTTCTCCTTCAAAGATGCATGAATTTCAACCTTGGATTTTGTAAAGAGGGTCCTCTTTGGTTGTCTTAAGGGTAACGGCCTGAAGAAGGCTTCGGAGGATGGCTTCTGGGTTGCAGAGATCATTGGCAAAGCCATCGTAACAGAAGCAGAAGCCATTTTTGGAATTGCTTTGCTTGTGCTTACCTGGCTTGGCTTGCAGATTCTGCTGAAGACGTTGAGGTTAAGAGAGTGGATAACCAAATGGAGATTTTCGGATGACGTGGCACTTGTAAGTTATCCTACGTGGAACATTCTCTACCTGATATTGTTAGGATAAGCTTATCATCAAGAAAAAGGTCCACTTGAGAACAAGTCTTGTAATGCCTTTGTCTGCAACGTTTACTTTTTCTTTAAAACAAATATCATTCAAGTATCTGATTTTATAAAACTTTTTATTTTAGTCTTTAATTTTATAAAATATCATTCACTTTCATCTTTTTATTATGAAAAAGATACTCAAAAGTGAAAGAAAAAATTAAAACAAATGTTATTTTATAAAATAAAAAATTAAAAGTGATAATTTTATAAATCAATAACTAAAGGGACTAGTTCTGCGAATCCGGGAGAATAGAATGAAAGTTTTTCACGAGAATAAATTCATAAAAAATTAAGGTAAAAAATGAAGAAAAATGAGTTAAAAAAACAAGCAGAGCCTACAAGTACTCTAAGAAAATGGAAAACCGTTGCCATTGACAATCGAGGTAGAAGAAGTAAAACATTTTCACGTACAGATACAGTTACACTTTCCTTTTAGGCCTAGGATCTATCTCAATTACTACAGCCAGAGAGAGAGTGATAGAGGAAATCCAACTATGACAGAAAAAGAGACCAAGCTAAACCTCCATATAACAAACATCAGAAATATAGACAGACTCAGAGGATGAAGTTCAATTGTGGGACAAAATTGGATCCACTTTGAAGGTTCGTATAGTCATACATGAGTCCTAAAGTCATAGTTTATAATCGTTGTTAGTATTGTCTGTTAAAGCCCTATACTTTTAGTAAAGCAGCACTCCTAACTATCATGAATTGATCCAGCAAAGAAAACTTTTGATGGAATTTAACAGGTGAAAAGAAATAAACAGACGAGGCACGTGCATGCAGCTGCATAGCAATGAGTAAGAATCATCTATTGAGTACACTCGTGTCTGGTTCCATATGTCTGAGGTGAACACCTTGAGGAAGAAGGTTATATCTGATATTGAGCTCTTCAAATATTTTCTTTATTTCCATAACCAGTTCAGTTCTCCGCTTGTTCTTCTCCCCAAACTCTTGAAAGTTCATTGTGTGGGTAACATAGAGACCCATCTTGATCTTGTTTACATTTTCAATCTCCTTCACTACTAAGCCATGATTAGGATACCAGTATTGTGGATTTCTCTCCAAGTACCTAATTTTAAGAAGGACATTAGAGCAAAGAAAACTAGAAAAGCACAGGCATAACTGGACAGCAATAAGAGCTGTTCCAATTTCACAACAAAACCATAGTCATCTTTTAAATTTCCCGAGACTTTTGGACAAGTATGGGAAAAATTGTGTACAGTCTTAAGATGAACTTCTTGAGTTACAACAAGTCTCAATCAAACTTATAAGCAAGATCTTAATTCACAATACAATAATGCGACGTGCCACTCGTATATCTTGAACACAATACTGTGCTTCCTAAATTTAGATTAGAAAGAAAATTATAACAACTAATTGTTGAAAAACTTTGAAGGCATTTATAAAGGTGTTCATTTTTCCTTTATTAGTTCATATGTCAGTGTTCCATAATGGACAAAATAATGCTTGGAAGCCATAACCTTAAAACGAAAACACATTCCACGAAGGGAACATCAAAGTTTTCAGAGAAAAGAGAGGATATAAAGACTATTCATTTACCCATGAAGACACAATTAGCTTACCTCTTTACTTTTTCTTTGAGTGCCCCAATCTTCTCTGCTGGTGTCGTAAAATCAATTGAGAACTCTACACCATCACCCATATCTGGGCTTCGGTAATAATTGCTAATCGGTTTTGTGGCAAGAACAGAGTTTGGATAGTACACCTTTTCATTATTAAGCTTCAAGAAGACTGTTGTCAATATATTCATTTCTTCAACCAATAGCTGCCAGATTATCAGAAGGCATTAAAATGCAAATCCCAAACAAGGAAATAAAATTTAGTAGCTAAAGATTACCTCAACACCATCTATAACACATCGATCACCAACATCAAATGGGTGCATTACAAACACGAAGATGATAGCTTCAAATATATTCTTGCATGTGTTTCCAAACATGAAACCTACAAGTAATAGCTGCGATGAGAGGAATAAAAGTACTTTTGTTGTTGCAATCTCCATTAGTAGAAGCCATACTATTATGGTCACCACTACTAGAATTCCTGTGACAAGCTTGTTCAGTTGTTTTACAGCTGTTTTGGTGTCACTTAAGGCATGTGCCAATGCTTTGCGTTCTTGATATACCTTCAACTGATGAAGACAAACAATTACAAACATTAAGGAGTGAAACTATTAGTTTACCCAAACAGAATTTCAGTCTTTCAATACCATGACAAATTTTAATATGACCAAAAATATAGAGGACCTTACCAGCCAGTTGGTTAAAGATTTTCTGGTAATTTGCCCCGTTTCAGCTTCAGTCAGTAGGGGATATACCACACGCACTTCTTCCTTAATCATGAACCTCCGGAGTTCGTCCTCGTCAATGTACCTAATCATAATGACAGAACCTTTAATGAGAAGCAGGAGAGTGGCATATACTGAAAAAAAGGAGCAAGACAAATACATTTACAAGCTACTAGACTAGAAGTGATAGTGCATGTATTCTTACGTGCAACCAGGGGAAGCAACATTCATGAAAATGTAATAGGCAGCAGCAATTGCTTCCATCTCATTCGTAATCTCTTTATCAGTTTGATCATTTTCTCCATCCTCAAAACTTTCATCTAGAGCATTAGAGATTGTGGACAGCCCTGAATTTGTCACTGCATCCACCAAAATCTTCATAGTCCACGCAGAAACTTTCTCCCGCTTCATCCGGTGAAGCTTCGCGATATCAATAGCCTTTTTCTTTGTGCCACCTCTACCATCTGTACTCCTGAAACTAAAATGACCAACACTTTGTGATGCCCCAACTTTCTCAGCCTCTTCTATAAGTGGAGGGCCAGCGAGAGTCTGCAAAATGTACTGATGAAAGATTGATTCTTGAATTCGATCAAAGAAAGACTTGACATGGAAAGTTGATGCCAAGATCTTCAGCAACAGTGTCTTCACAAACCACAGGAATGCTCCAATGAGAAGGGAAACAAGAGTCCATGTCACCCCATTCAAAATTTTTGTGGCCAATTCAGATCGGTCGACCCCATGGTTAATGAAAAGCACCCATGTGAGAAGAACCAAACCAATCCAAATGAAGACCTGGACACATTTCTTCAGTCCATGTACAAAATACAGCACCTTTTTCCTCAACAAAAAGTTGGTCTCAATCAAGAAAACAACAATGAGCATAAACCACTTGGTAACCAACATACCACAAAAGGTCACCATCACAAGCACACACCACCTCCAAAACGCCAAACTCCAAATCTCAGTCCTTTTCAGTTTCCCAACAGTTAAACTAGCCAGCAAGCTACCCGCAATGCACACAAACACAAACCACTCAATCAAAACCTTAGTAGTCAATCTCTTACGCTTGCTTTTACTCAATTCAACTTTCTTGTAAATGATTTCATCAAAATCCTCCTCAGCATGCCCAGGAGACGCCATCAACGGCGTCTTGGGAGTGATCACGGAAGTGATGGAGACAGTTCTATTAAACGTCCCTGGCTTGTTGTTATTAGGTGATGCTTTATACGGTGAACTAACACCCAATTGTTCTTGCAAAGTTGATGTACCATTCTCTTCCAAAACAGACCCATCAACTGGATAAGGTTGTTCTCCAAATCTTGATTTGGGTTTGGAATACACTGACCTTGTGAATGATTTTCTGTTGGTGAGGTTGGCATTGGAAGTGGGAACTTTGGGGGGCTTATTTGGGCTGGGAACGAACCTTATTTCGGGGGAAGCACAATTCAAAGGTGGCGACTTTGCAACAACCTCGTTGTCAGTACATGTTCTGTGAGGCGAATTCACCCTACTCTGCAGCTTCGAAGATAAAGATTCACCACCACCCTCATTTGGAATCGCCACCACCACTTCTCTTTTCTTTTCCGCCATGCTCACTTCACCGTTATCCTTAATAGCATCCATTCACAACCCTACGCATGTATTTTAAAAATGTACACCTGCAGATTAATAAGCAATCACAAGGCACAAATAGACTAACAAATAGCAACCACCTCTTGCCATAGCAAACTAAAACAGATACTATTATACATGCTTTAATTTTTTATATATATAATTATATGTATATACCAAGAGAAACTACTAACTTGGACATCCAATTAGAAATAGACAAAATAATAATAAACAAAAGAGTATGAAAAGAAACAGATCAAGTGGAGCTGTAACTAGTTATGTGTGTGAGCTTGTAAACAGTGGGTGACAGATAAAGTTGGTTGGCAAAGGTTGAAAAAACACAAGTATAGATACAAATAACAAATACGGGTGGTTAGCGGGGATTAAGGTGTTAAGGGTGACTTCGCTTACATGTGAGTCAAAAACCACAGCTACTAGTCGGAAAAGACTAATTGGAAGGTGTGAGTGTTTAGAGCAGAGGTTGATGAAGCAATGAGAAGTGGGAGGAAATTGTGGCTTTACATCCCGAGGAAGGCCATCGAAAGCGAAGACTCTATCGATGTAATAACTCATAAACAAATAGCGTATCAAGTGTTGCTGTTTACTAACAAACACAATCCATGATCACAGCCAGCATGAAATTAAAAATTTAATGCTTAATTTATACTATTTTTAAAGTAATTGTTTATTTTTAATAAAATTATAATTATAAATCATTTTGATTAAAAAACAAATCCACTTATACGCACGTGATTTTGTGTATAATTATACATATTATTTGACAGACTTTATTGTATTCTAAATTTATTTAATTTGTGTTGTGTGTGAATTTGGTTCTTTAAGCTTTTTAAGACAGTTATATTTCCTTTTTTTTTAACTAAGTAAATTTAATTCTTTGATTAAATTCTTCTTGCTTAGAATACTTTAGTTATTTTTTATCTAAATATTTGAGATTTATGATGAATTTTAAATATGAAATAATTTTTAAAATATAAGTAGCAAATTTTATTAAAAAAAAGTAATACGGTGTAAGATTAGAATTTTAAAAAATACAACAAATAAATTCTCAGTTTTAGTTAACTTTTGTGCTTTTATTTAGTAGATTCTGAGTAGAAATTTTAAAATAATTTAATTGAATCAATCTATAAACTTTTTTAAAAAGTAAACTTGAGAACATTTATATAAAAAATAATAAAGAAAATTTATTTTAAATAATTAAAATCTTACATCATCTAAAGTGAAAAGACACACAAAAAAACCCAACCAAACCTATTCCTGTAGATAATGCCCCTTTACTTTTTAATTTGAAAGTCAAATTTTATGAAAAGGCGTTATATAATTTATAATTAATTTGGTTTAAAATGCCTAGGGTCGGAACTGTGTGAGTTATTAAAATTATATTTTTTAAGCTTAGTTCTAAAATTTTTATAAACACAAGACATTTATTATATTTTCATAATAAATTATTAACAATTGATGATTTTAGTCATTGAATTTTTTATCTATTTTAATATTAAATTATAATATTAACAACAAAATATATGTATTTAAAAAGATATAATAAGAAAAAAACAATAATTAATTTAAAAAGATACATGATAAGATCATATTTATTATTTTTTTATATTACTCATTAACTAGTTAATAATTATATATTATGCTTATTTTAAAAGAATATTAAAAATTGATGATGTGGATGTATACTATATATATAGGCCTGATTTAGTAAGTGACCTAAACCACTACTTTAGTGGCCTTAGCCTGTGGCCGTGACAAAAGCTAAATACTTTTCTTTTAAAAAAGGGTGGGCTGAGTAATCTAATTATTGCACGTTACTACGCCCTCACTCAATTCCAATCCCAAGCAACAGCTCACCTTTTTATTTTTTTAAAGGAAAAGGTTTTTAGCAGTTGTTGATTCAAATAACGAATGATTTTATTTTTTTTGTTCACTTTATAGATATTATAACTAAATTACAAGAACACACTTATGTGATTTAAAGTAAAAGATGAAATGTTTGTTTCTCTGCTACTTTTTTGCATGGTATATGTTTTGATATTTCACTCACTTTTTTAATATTTATGACTAATAAATATAGATTATTTTTAATACAAACATGTATTTGTTTTTCTTTACACTCAATATTGTGACATTTTGAAGCACCTAAATAACATTTTTTAAATTTTATTTCATTTCATCAGATATTTATGCTTTAATTTTTTTATTTCATAATATACTACGTAATAATAAGTTATTAAATTTAGTTATCAAGCTCAACTTTAATTTACTTGCAGATAGATTAATTTCTTCGCCTATTCAACGAAATTTTAATAATTATATGCGTTCTATATCAAATAGTCAAATCATATTCCTTTTGTAAAATTATATTGAAATAATAGAGTGAGTAATTAATTAAAGTAAAATTTTATGTTGGCTCCCAAAAATAATAATGAATTTGATCCATTGGCGACACGATAAGGGAGTATAAAAAAATGTTATCAGCTAGAAAGGGAAGTGTCGTATTTATTAGCTAAAGCATCAGCCGTAAAATTTGCTTCTCTGGAAACGTGTCCATCTGATCAATCCTGAACTAGGGATCTACAAGCAAATTTTGGATATAAAAATTTTATCTTAAAAAAATTTGTCATTGATAATTTTAGAAATTTATAACTTTTCGTTGTTTTCTTACTTGTACTAAATTTGCTATTAATAATTTTTTTATTTTATTTAAAAAGAGTATATTACTGTATTACCTATTCTAATACATTATTTTACTTTAAAAATTACCTTAGAGAAATGGGTTTTGCTACAATTATTGAAGGAGTAATTGTGGGTTCTGTCGCGCATCCTGCATTTTTTTTTTTGGGTCAATGCTAATATTTCAAAGCCCACGTTCTATAGCATCTCGAAGGGCCAAGAGAGTACAGGTTAATAAAGTATGTTTGTATACAAAATGAAAAGGAGTTTCACAAAATAAAAAAGAATTGCAAAGCGTGTTTTTACGTTGAATAATGGGTAACTTCCGTAACCCACATTAAACAAACAGACAAAATTTATGAAATAGTTCATTTTTCAAATACCAGTATAAGGTTTTTCAAACACTGGTTAATAAGTCTAAAATTTGCGTAAGCTAATGCTATAAAAATATTATTTAATATTTTAATAAATATTTTTATTAAAAATCACATTGAAAGCAAATAAAAGTTATAATGAAAGTGTGATAATATTTTATTATTATTATTTGACTACCTTTAATAAAAATTGAATCTTCTACTTTTAATAAAAAAATTCAATTATCAAAAAATTTGTTGATTTTTTTTTAATTTAATATTTTATCTTTGTTTTTTTATAAATTTTACGATATTGTATTGTCAAGTGTAATATTGAGTTATTTTTTATTAATTTGAGAAAGTTCTGAGAATAACCTTAAAAATAGAATTTAATTAGAGTGAGGTTAATATTGATAAAAAAATATTGGAGCTTAATTCCTAGTCAATAATCCAATTATCGATGCATCTTTATTTTTATTAATCTAATTAGGAAAACAATTATATTTTATGGACGAAAGAAAACTGATGAATAAGATTTTTTTTAAATTAAAATAAAAAATAAGTGTAACAGTAAAAAATCATAATAATTGACGATATAAAAATAAGTGTAACAATTAGTTTATGCTCTAAGTATTAATTATTTATAATTTTTTATATCATCAATTAATTGATTAAATCTCGGTGAAGTAAGTGTTATATGTGAAAGTCTAATAAATTTTAATTTTAATTCAAATATATTAACAGTAAAATTCAATCATAAATGACTGTGTTAAAAATAATTATTTTTTTTTTAGTAATTAATATAAAAATACATTTATAATTTATTTGAATTGATCCATAGTGTAACAACATACTTAAAATTAAACCAACGGTGTTTTAATATTACATATTTAACTGCTGTTATTGTTATTATTTTTAATATTAATTGACTTCTTATGGTTGTCAACTTTCATCCCCAAAACTATTCAGCGATTCAAATATTGTGGGAATTAAATTAGGGAACGTGGATAACCCAAAATTCATATTTTCCCCTAATTAAGTAGCAACCTTCAACGTTTGTTAGTTTATTCACAACGTGGATTATTCAAGCTGCCCATGTGCTATTAAAAAGGGAAACAAAAATTATATGATAAATTTTCCCAACTTTTATTGACTTATTTATTCTAAGGACATTTTCTAAATGCACACGTGTATATACAAAACAAATAAAAAATTAAAAAAACAATATATAGTATAAAATATAACATTATACCTTATTATTTAAATAATGAAACCGATTTTAAAATGACAAAGTTTATGCTGTGAAATTTTATTTATATAAACTATACAAATAAATCTATTAAAAAATTTAAATGATTTATAAAGGTTATAAGGTTTTTTATAAAAAAATAATAATTCATAAGTCTCAGGTTTATTTTCAAAATGATAAAATAAAAGGAGTGCAAGAAAGATATATATAAATTTTCAAGAAAAACAACATAAATGCAATTATCGTTTACTTCAAGAAAGTTCAATGTACTTATTCGATCTCGCAGTCTCATTTTTACGTAAAAAATAAATACAACGGTATGAATTAAAAAAATACTTACGATAGAAATATTCAATATCGATTGATTCGTGAAATTGATCTTATTTAGTGAAAAAAAAAGAGAGAGAGATTAAGTTGTTTTGTAGATATAAAAAAAATAATGTGAAAATTCAATGCTTCATACTCAAACATCTTTGGCCTTCTTTTAAATCTTAAGGATATTATTTAAAAATACGCGATTTAAATAGAAAGATAATTGAAAAAAAATAAGAAATATCATTTCTAAATGAGAAGTTGCTGGTGTCCAATATATAATTGAGTTGTAGTGATTACAAAACCACAATTTTAATGTTTTAAAAATTATGTTGTTTGAACCAAACAACAGTAAAGGTTATTTTAAAATATATATTTATAAAACAAACAAATTGTTTCCCTAGAAAAATGATGACAAAAGGATATGTCTGGCAGCAGCAGGCCAGAAGGAAGAAAGAGGCACAGAAAGTACTGCACATTGCCAGCATACAATAGGTGGAAGATATTATGGGAGTATGCACCAAAATCTGTCGTCATCTCCCCTACAGCTCACAATTGAGGAACAAATTTGTAAATATATATATACTAATCCAACCATGCTTATTGCTGTATGACTTAAATCGGAATTCATAAACATCATCTTCCCAGCAAAACGACAACTATAAAGTACAAAATCTTGAAAGGGGACCGTGATTACGACTTGCTTTATACTTTTACAGACAACATTAACGAATTATTATTTTTTTAGACTTTCGTTATCAAAACCGCTCAAAATTACATTAAATTGATTATATATTATATTGATTCCGTATATAAATGATTCATGCATCAGATCATATCTAGTGTGAATTTTGAAGGACCCTATTGGCATAGCCTTTAAGGCTGAGGCTAATGGTTGCAAAGGATGGTCGAGTAGATGGAGTTCCGTCCCAGCAAAGGCACACTAGGTCAACCAACTCTCCCAGTTGGTCACCATCGTCCCTTGATGGAAGCATAGGCCTTAGCTTCCCCTCCACAACTTCCATAGCAATCTAATAACGTATTCCGAACACACGACACAAAAATAACAATAAGATTTTTTTATTTTTTTTAATATCAATTACGACCGGAATTGATTAGCTAATCAATCAAATAAAAAATTAATAAAACAAGTAATTGAAAATCAATGGGACAATGTTACCTTGGCAGGACCAAATTCTGTCTCAATGTAGGGGTATTTTCCAGTCAGAAGCTCGTTCAGTATGACTCCAAAACTGTATACATCACATTTTTCATTATAGGGCTCACACCGAATCACCTCGGGTGCCATGTATACGTATGTTCCTGAAAAAAGCGAAAACAACAAAAGGACGTGTCCAATATAAGGTGAGTGACAAATACAATATGTATATGTATTTGTTGAGCTTACCAGTTTCTCCGGTGAGAGCCATTTCATCGTCACCCAAGAAGCGAGCGTGTCCAAAATCCGCAACTCTAACATGCATGGCATCGTCTAGGAAAATGTTGCTGGGCTTCAAGTCACGGTGAATGACTTTGGGCTTTTGTTCGTGGAGATACTGCATGGCTTGGGCTATCTCTAAGGCGCTCATTACTCTATCTTTTAAAGGAGGGAGTGGCACAATTCGGGTTTTGGGCCTTTTTCCTGGGCCATGGAGCCACTCCTTTAGCGTGGTGTTGAGATACTCCGTAACGACCCATGCATGATGAGGAGGCTCAAGGCACGCACCCATAAGGTGAAGCACGAAACGGTGGCGCTGTTTGGCGAGAGTTTCAAGCTCCTGAGCGAAGAATACGACACCGTTTGTGTTTGTGCGGAAGAATTCAGGTGCCATGCACTTCACCGCCACATCAAATCCGCGCCATGTTCCCTTATGAATGTCCGCTGTGGTTCCCTGCCCTATTTTCTCTTCCAACTCAATCTGTTCAAGTTTATTTTATTTATCATATGCCTCATATTAATTACAAATCTTTAATTTTACAGTATTGATTATGCGTGCATGGCTAGTTAGAATCAAACATACTTCCTCTTTTACCTTTTTTATGCAGTACTATTTAGAAGGTCATGATGGATCTTATAGAAAGAATTTTACATTTTTTTAATAAATTATCCATTATTTTATTTGTTCTTAATAAATGAATTTTGTAAAATTTATTGATTAAACTTGATAGGAAATGAAACATATTTTAAAAACATTAATAATAGAATTAAATTTAATAATAACATATCAAGATAAAAATAATGTATTGTAGTATTTAAAAAAAAAGGTCTTACTAGACACTAGTTAAAAATTAATAATGCTTTTTTAAAATTCATCAGAATCATGGGATGAGTGTCTTTTTATGTTTTCTGATAAAAAATTATAATTTAACTAATATCTTAAGATCGACTTTATCTCTACAGTCATTATATATAAAGAATGTAATAAAAAAAAATGTTGGACTCTCTTTTTAGATATAGACAACAGTTATAAGAAATTGAAAAAAATTGACACAGAATAATTTAAAAATACTTATTGATGGGAATGGGAATGGGTCTTACTAAGATATTAAGTACTTGCCTCACTTGGATTAATATACCATCCGTTGATTTTGGCTTGATGGATGATGGGCGTTAGATTGGGGTGGTGATGCGAAGGAGTGGGAATCTGAGGAGTGTAGAGAGGGGGGGGAGATTGTGGCAGCTGAAGTTCACCTTTGGAGTGGAGAATGAGGTCCAAGATTCCATTATCTTGTGCGATTTGGAGACAGTACCTTAAGTAATCTTGTGTCCTTTCCATTCTTTTCTTATACATCACTCTAAGTTCTTTCTGCCTTTGCACCTCCTTTTCCAAACCAGCCACCTACTTCCCCACACACCCAACCAAATAACCAAATATCATCACTAATATTTAAACTCATTTGTTTTCTTTTTTCTTTCCAACTTTTTAATATAGCAACAAGAATGAATTTATATTGCATACGAAACTATTCAATTTTGCAAATATTAAAGACTTAAACTCAATAATATAAATAAAATCCTTTCATATCAATTGACGGTGACTTTACTTACATCAAGAGTAAGATTTAGTTTGATTTTATTTTTCAATCTCACAATTAAATTAAAACATTTTATGGAATAAATTACGTCTAAAATTTTTATATTATTTTTATGCAAATTCAATACAATAGTTGTGAATGACGGTTACTTTAATTTTGGACATGAACGCAACAAAACGAACAGGCTCTGGCCCGTTTCTTTACCCAAACGTGAACTCCCTCCCCCGAAGTGAAGCCCATAAAATGTGTTGGCCCTTTACTTTGCCATCCCGGGTCATAATCCCCGCATAAATAAAATAAATTATAAATAAGTTGAATTTGATTTTTTATATTTCAAATCATTATTTATAAAAAATAAATAATTTTTGAGTTCAGACAATATATAATTTTTTAACGATAATAGAACAATAATATTTTAATGTAAACATTAATAATTTTTTTTTAATTTGACAAAGTGATTTTATATAAAATCCAATCGCACAAAATTATAAATCCAATGTAAATTTATTGATCTAACATATCCAATCAATATAAAATTCGATATTTAGTCATTACATTACTATAATTCACGAGTTTAAGAGGAGTCAAGCCAAAAAAAATGAAGTTGATTTGTTATTAAGTGGAGACTCAACGTGGTTCAGGTCCAACCCCCGATAATAATACATGCTTGTGGTTGTTAGCATTTTAATAGTTTGAGGTGAAGAAATAAACAAACAAATAAGCATATATACAGAATATAAAATTTGTTTAAGCCACGGAATTCTATATAATCTTTATCTTCCTTCACGTGTATTCATGAAAAGTTTGGTTTGACATAAGATGCATGCAATGCAAGAGTACCTTTGCTTGGAATCTTTCATAACGCTGTTGAAGCTGATGGTGTTGCGATGTTAGGGCGGTGGAAGACACAGTCCTAACGCTGTTGAAGCCTCGACAGCATCCAGAAGGGAGAGAAGTAGCTGTCTCTTGCTTCACTCCCAAATTAGATTTGGAAGATTGGCGAGACAGGTTACGCTCAGAGCGAGGACTGTTACTCATGTTCATGTCTCTGTCTTTTGAAATGTTGTGGATGGGGCAATGAGATTCAGTGGTGCCTTAATCATAACCTTCAATCCCTTTTTGTTGTTAACGCCATACCCAATTGCACAGGACAATCTCGACGGACTTTGTGATGATGAACATTGCCCATTTCAATTTTATTTTTAGTACGCAAATGCCCGCGGGTTACTTTCGTATAACAATTATATTATTTAGTAACAGACAAATATAAAAATAAGATTGCCAAAACTGGTCCGGCCTAACGTGCAGTCCGTTTAGCTCTCAATAAATTATTAGACGGGTGTGATTTTTAGCTATAAACTGGGTTAAGATAGGCTAATTTATTGGATTTAAAGAAAAAAAAAACTTTAAATAATGAAAATAAATATTTACTGATTAATTATTATTTATTATTTGTTTAAATTTTTTATTTTTATATTATTTTAAGGATTCTTGTAATTTCTTTTGTCATTTCTTTCATGTTAGTTCATCGATTTTTGTTATTTTTTAAATATGTCTTAAAAAATTGCATCCGAGATTTCTAACATTGCACCCATAATATGGGTGATAAAAACAAAAAATAAAAATAAAAATTGTTCACTGATCATATATATGCAAATCAATCATGTTTATACCAATGGATATAACTTTTTTCATAGTTCTTTAGTTTCAATGTAGTATTTTTCATCATATACCTTGTATTATTTTCTCTCCACTCCACCAAATATGGTTGTTCTCCATTTGAAGTTTTAGGATTGGATAAAGGACAAAAACCAAAGAGGGGATAAAATAACTAGTTCAAGTGAATAGATAGAATTTTGGCAGGCCAATTCATTTAGTTTATCTATATAACGTGTATGGAAAAAAGGAGTTAACAATGTTACCAATAAATTTTGACCTTGGGAAAATGGCAAGGTGGTGGCAACGGGAGACAATTTGGGCGGAGTTTACTTCAAAACCCAGAGCATAGATATGATATAACAAGACTAATTAATTAAACGTTTGATTAAATCATTATCATGGTCACTTTTTGTATCATTCTCATATCATTGTTAGTTCTATTTTTACCAAAACAAACATTTTAATAAGCGGCCACAACGATCTTCTCCAACGATGTAGGAAGTTAGATTTCTTAGAAGATACCAGAGAGAGAGAGAGAGAGAGAGAGAGAGAGTAATTTAAACAAATTAATCCTTAAAATCACAAGTACAAATCATCAATTTAATTACTTCTTTAAATTATAAAAAATATTGTAATATCTCAAATTACTAAACAAAGGTTATTTTATTCTTTGTTTTAAAAATTTTAGTGACTAAAATAATAATCTATTAATAACTTTATTAAAATGTTTTTTTTGGTAATATTAAAGACTAAATAAACAGTGTTTGTAATTTTAAAACTAATCGACGTATAACTCATAAAATGGTAGTTAATAAGGTTTCATAAAATGTGTGAAAAATGTTATAAATACCTAATATGCATTGACAACGCCAGAAAGAAAAAAATTTAAAAGTAAATAAGCAGTGTATTTAGCTCGTGAGAATATAACTAAATTGAAAAGATATTTAACTCAAATTAGTTGAATGTTGAATGTAGTATTTATATACCATTAATCTTAAACAAAAAATTAATATAGTGGCACGATCTTTAAAGAACAAATTAACTTTATATTTATATGTGTGTTTCTTCTAAATGCAAGCATCTATTACATTTTTTAATGGGCTAAATGGTCTCATATTTCAGAAAAGGCGTTTGAGCTTTTTTTTATCCATTTATTTTTTCAGCCCAAATACTATTTTTTTTCTTTTTACTCGATCATACTAATCGAACACAAAAAAAAATAATATCACACCTTTCACATTAGCTACAAGTGCAACCTATGAAATCACAAAAAAAATGATTATCAATTCAAAATATAAATAAATTATTTAAGTATATGTTTAATATATTAACTACTTACTCATTCAACCAATTTTGAATAAATAAAAATTAATCCTTCCCTTCATAATTGAAAAAAAAGTTTAATAATGAAAATTTTGTGATAGACAAAATTTGATATTATTAAAAAGGTAATAAGTCAAACTTAGTTAAAAATATAATAAAAATCTAAAAAGAATGTGTATAAGACTACTGAATAATGGATGTTAGATGTTATACATTAGTTAAAAATAAAGTAAGAATACTCTTTATAAAGGTTAAAGTAGTTCTTTGGGGGAGCTATTGAAATATAATAAATACATGTTTTAATCAATTAATAGTTTTTTTTTTAATTTTTAGTTAATTTTTTAGAATGTGCGTATAAAAAAAAAGTGACCCACAAAAAAAAATTACACTATCACTTCATATGTTAGCTGTTGAAATATCAAAATTGATTCCTTTAAATCAATGTGTAAAAAGCAGTGAACTGTTGCAACTAGCACATGTCCATACAAATTCAAAGTAAAGCGATCCAAGTATGAAACAACGAAGCCCAAAACTCGGATGCAAGAGTATTGTTGTGTGAACGTTATTCGGGAGCTTCGCTTTGGCTTTTGAAGTAGAACGAAAGAGGCAGAGAAAGAGATTCTCCTGTAGAACTAGATGCAAATATCATAATCATCATCTTCAGCCTCTCACTTTAATTGTACTTTGAAGGATAAAGCGAAAGCGGTGGTTTAGGTTAACAGTGTTGTGGAAACTCACCTCGGGATCACCAATCACTTTACCTTTTGTCTTTTGCTAACAAAGAAAAAAATTTGACGTGCCATTAAAATGAATAATTTTATAATTTTTTTAATATCTGAGTTTTTTTTAACAATTTAATTTAAATATATTGAGAGTATAATTTGTTTGCATTATCATCAATTATAAATTATTATAACAAAAAGATTATTTTTTATGATAATTAATATAAAATGATATTTATAATGTATTCAGATTAGTTAATAATATAAAAATTATATTACAAATGTACTAAAATTAAAATATTTTATAATTATTCGTATAAAAACAGTAAGTAAAAACTAAAATAAAAATATACAATATCATATGAAATACAAATTTTGAATAATTTAGATTATAAAAAATAAAAAGGCATATTGAAGTGTGGACCGACAAAACTAACCATAGCACAGGTTAGCGATGGACACTAATGTTTATCTTCTCTGGCCAACTTTATACATTGCTCTTTTGTTGCATAGGGTGGGTTACTTAATGCTAGAGCTACCACTTTAGAAAGGCCCCATAAGAGTTACCTTTGAGCCTTATTTCGGTTTCTGTTATTCTTTTATATTCCATTTCGTAGGATGGATTATATACAGAATAAAGGCGTTTAGCAGTATGATTTTGACTTTTTCAGTTTATGTTATATAGCTTAGATTGTCCAAGCTCTGACCCAAGAAAGGGAATAATTATGATTATAGCTAAGGTTTTAGCATAACAATTGAGTCAGTCTCTATATAACCCATAACGACAATTAATAGTAGTTTGTAATGATAATATATATTTAGTATATGCCAACTATCTGAACGTGAATATTTTTCTTTTGGATAAAAGATAGTCTTTTGGATGAGACAGCAAAAATTTATTCCTCTCATCATTGCTCGGCTACTTCTCCAACTCACCACTGTACGGAATCTCTAACAAACGAAAATGATAGGAACTATCCCTACCCAAAATTTTAATCCCGTGACCCAGTTTTTAATACAATTCTTGGCACTAATTTTCAACTTAAAACTGTGAATTAGTGCATTAAAAATTACGTATGGACTTCCCTACCTGCATTTCTTGAATAATTAAGTTATAGATCCATCATCCGCTAATTGCACAAGTAACAGGTAAATTAGTTTCTAAATGATATGTGATCATGTTGATACTTTGACTAAGGAGAGATTCTTATTATGTGGGTCTTCCTACATTGAAACCATATGCATGCTCATCACGTAGTAATCTTAATTATATACTTTATTTGAGTAGGCTATTATTAGGTCTACTTACAATGAACCCCACATTGCAGTGGTACCCTTTTCAATGTTTATGAAGCACTTAAAATACGATTTTCATTGTAATGATCCAACGCCTCTTACCTAAGAATTGCCATGCACATGCGTCTCTGGGGACCCTTGTTTCATCGTGCAAAAGTACTTCATCGTTGATTTGACATATGAGATACGGCTGATCCCCCGTTGGTTCGGGTCCGATTTCAAAGAAAATATTTGAATCGATTGAAAAAAAATAACAGAACAAATTGAGTCAATTTTTTTAACATGTGATACAAATTAACTTGATTACACCACGAAGAGTTTAATTGAGTTGAGTAATCATGTGTGTATTTTAAAGATAAACAAACTGTAGTCTATAAAATTTCATAACTATCAAGTTAAATTAAGAAATTTCATTAATTTTTATATCAAATACCTCTATCTGTATTTAAGTAGTAATTCATTTAAAAATCAAATTTGAAAATATAATAACATTTGATACACATATATAAAAATATAAATATTATATAATAGTTTATAAATTTATGCGGAAATGGGCTGAGTTTATTGGATTACAGAAAAAACTTAATATTTAATTAAAAAAATTGAATTCACTATTTTAAAAGTTAATTATACCTGATTATTCGAACGAATCTATTAATTTTGATTTGGTTTAAGTTATTAATCAGGTATTCTAATCCGATCCCTATATATTTTTATAATTTGTTAAATTTTATGCTAATTTATTTGTTAAAAATTATGTTAAATTTTTATAATTTTAAAAATATATTTTTAAATAATAAAAAATATTAAAATAAAAAATTAATATTTCAAATAAGATAAGTCACGCGACTTAATTTAGTTTTTTTTTAAAAAAATTGCTACAAAAATAAGTGAATAGATTTTTAATTTTTGTTCTAAAAATAAATCCCATTAAAGTTTAATTAAAAATATGTGTTTAGATATAAATGATAGTTACATTTAAAGGATTTGTTATTAAATGTTTTTTTTTTCTTTTAGTCTTTTCTTTTAAATTAGTAAATAATAATTCTAGGTTTTTTTCTACTATTAAACATCCATCTCTTGTCATATCTACTCGAAATAATTACATTAGCTTAAAAAGTATATATATAACTATCGAAAGTTATTCTCTTGTCATATCTACTCGAAATAATCACATTAGCTTAAATATATATATAACTATAAGAAGTTATTTTAAGTATTAAGCGGCTTAATATTACTAAAGTAAAATTTTAAATTTAAATTCAGTATCGCTAAACAGTTTTTTTCAACAAGGTTTAACCTCAAAGTCTCACTAGCTCATACTGCCATATTTATTTTTTGTATTAAAAGTTTTGTGAAGTGTCTATTGATATTTTTATATATTTATTCTTATTTTTATTTAAATATTGTATTTATCATATTTTTATCATTAATAATAAATAATAAGATTTTAAATAAAATCACCTAAATCGGAATGACAAGAGACACTTGAAGTAATAATAAACACACCTAAAATCCTTTTGGAATTTTTACATATTTTTGTATTATCTCGTTAACCAATTAATATCAAATGTTGAATTTATTTTTGTTTATAAGGTTGGAGTGGAAAAGAATGCATGTAAATATCGGATTTAAAAGTGCACAGTTGAGAAGGAAGCGCACGCCGCACAACTAATTACAGACTAGAAAAAGCCTTCACGAAGTATCTCAACTAGGGATTTCTTCACAACCTTTATACCTTTGCTTTTGGATGTAGAAATTTATTCTTGGGTTGCTTCCCTATCCTTCCCTTGCACAGTTTTGAGTTACTCTCTATTTTGGGAAAATAAAGGAGTTACGAGATTGAATGACGGTTAGAGAAGAAATCATTTTAATAGCAGCTGAGCTGTGGCTGAAAATGCTGTTAAAGGCCTCATTTTTCTTTTAAAAAACCCACATCGGAAGTTTTAGAACGAAGTGCTATTGCAAGTGGGCCTTTAATACTAGGCACATGAAACAGTGATTATAATAATTATCTTACAGAATTTGTAGTTATTATCAGTCTATTTTTGGCACAATAAAAGTTAGGTTGAATTATAACGCAAGCTCCTTAAACATTTCTTACCTCAATTCTTTTACACAAGGAAAGATTCATGTAGCTACGATCTTTCTTTCAACAAGCAATCGTTCTACATCAGCATTTTTTTAATAAAATGAGATAGTAAAGAAACGAAACGTACTATAAGTAAAATGACTTGATAACAAAAAATCACTTCTCAAGGAGAGAGAATATAATATAACGAATAATAACGTAAAAACAAGTAATCAGATAACGTTGTTACTTGTTAAGTACAGCGAAAACGGATGGCTATTTAAATCGAAGGGGAAAAAGAACGAGCACCGAATGCTATTGACCATTGGCCTGTCCTATGTGACTAATTTAATTAACGTCTTAACACCCGCAACAATAATTGCCTACTTTACCGCGCATCAGTGGCTTGTATTTGCTTTCAACAACATCATTTTAAGCAGAGTTAGCATTGTACCATGTACCCAACCAGTCTTCAAAACTAACTGCACCATCACTCAACGCCATCATTTGCCCCTCCCATAATAACTTTTTTTGCCACCATACAACCCAAAATCCCATCAAAGCATAACATTTTAAATTTTAAAGGAAAAAAAAATGCTTTCAATATTCTTTGAACGTTGAAGATGGTAGCGCAACCTGCAAGTTACGGGGGCCAAAACAAAATACAAAATACGAATTCCAGAGAGGAAGTAAGAAAGAAAGAGAGAAAGCATAAGCTTTAGTATTCACTTTCTCTATTCCCATGGGCGAAGATCTGCCTTTCCCTTTACCATCACACCCTCTCATTTTGCTTGTGATTACGATCTCGAATCTTTCGTTTTCCTCTTCTTGCTTTATTTTCGATCACTTCTTTCTTTTCCTCCTTCTTCATCTAACTCACTACTCTGTCAGTATCTGTGTGAATGTTTGATCGTGATCAAGAATCAACAAATCCCCACCTCTCTCCTTTTACAAAACGGAGTACCCTACTCACTTTTATAAATCAGCTAGCTACTGTGCTTTTTATCATATTCTCCGTCACTCCAAAAACATTCTGTACACGCACACATTCCTAGATACGTACCCGTACAAAGAAATCAAAGTTACTGTATCTAACACGTTATGCGTTTGTCTGCTTCAGCCAGAGGGCAGCCAGATTCAGTTCACACCGCCACAAAATCAAGCACCACCATCACCAGAAAAAGTGACCCTCCTAAGCGTACAATGTTTACTTTTGGTATTTGTATTTAATACTTCAAACAATATTAAGGTTCGCTAGGCATACAAAACTCTGTAGAAAGCGACTAATTTTGTACATGTTCTAATTCGCACTAACCCACAATCATCTCAAACAAATCAGGGTATCTGGACCAAACCATTTTCTTACAAATCATGATTTATAAAATGATTAAAAAACTCTAAAAAATGGGACATAATTTAAATACCGTGTGATTACGTTATTCTATCATTAAAATTTACATTGTTATCTGGTAATTTAAATTGACAACAGTTATGAAAAACAAAATGATCATATTCTGTAAGTTTATTATGATACACTTGTAATGAACAGAACTACATTATGAAGCCATTAGCAATGGCGCGATTAGTACTAACGTGAGTAGTTTCATACACTGGAAGTTCCTCACAATACCTATTATTTCCCATCACCGCAAGGTGATCAAGCTCGAAAAGATCCGAACTTGAATAGCTTGCAGCATCATCGTCGTCTTCGTCCTCGTTAGGAAAATCCCTCAAAATTAAATCGCTCTTCCTCTGGTTCCGATGGTACTCTTTCAAGAACTCTCTAGCAGTTTCCTCCACTCGCTTGCTCTTATCCAGAACCTCTTCATCGTTCTTCTTAATACACGACTTTCCAATTTTCCACGCGGTTGGTACGGACACAGCCATTAAACTCGTGTCCTCTCGTTCATACAAACACTTGTGGCCACACGGTCGACTATCTTCGCCCACGATCACGCTCACCGGGTAAAAACGCACCGTTCTTTTAACACTCTTGTCTCTGGAAGAAGGTGAAGTCTTGCTCAAACAAGAGCGTGAGAACGACGACGCGGAAGAGCACGTGGAGGCTTGTCCTGACTTGGCTTTTCGCTCTGCGTTCACGTCTTCGAAAGAGGGTGTGGATGTTGGGGTGCCCTTGGATTTCTTTGAGTTCCCTGTTGTGAACAGAGAGTTGAGAAAATTGGTGAGTTTTCCACCTGGAGAGATTGGTTGCTTCACCTTCTTCAGGTTGTTGTAAATCTTCAAAGCACGAGATTTCGATTTGATTAAACTTTCCTCGTTACTTGCAATGTGTGTCTTCTCTGACGTCACGCTCGTTTTCACCGGCTTGGGCCTTGGTGGGGCGAAACACGAAACACGCGATCTCACTCCGTACATGGATTCTGTGTCAGATGATGACAACAACCCAGAACTAGAATCCGAGGAACTTGAAGTTGAACTGAAAAACAGAACATCTTGGTCATGATCGTGACGTCGATGCGATTTTCTGTCCGTTTGTATTTTCCACTGTCCCCTTTGAATTTCACTTTTTTCTATTCCCTTTCTGTCCATCCATTTCTCGAGCACCATTAACTCTTCTGCTTCAATGGCTCTGCTCTGTTTCTTCCCCGTTGTTTCTGTGTAGAACTTCATTTCGCCGCTCTTTCTCTCTCCTTCGTCGATGGAACGGTAAATCTTGTCGAGGAGGGTGGAAGAGAAGGAGGGGTTTTTAGCGTCGTTTAGGAGGAAGGTTTGTTGTTCTCTCCGCGCTTTCTCCAACCTGTACATGTTTGGTGTGGGAATAAATTGGAGCAGCACGAGTGAAAGGGAATGATGAGGTGGGAGAGTGAGAAACAGGAAATAAAGTGTGGTGGGGTAGAGGGTTTAGGGGTGAGAATTAGAAGAAGGTTGAAAAGCTGCCATGGAAGGAGTCTAAAATGATGACAAGAGTAGAGTTAAGTTATGATTGAAGAAGAAGAAGAGGGTATGTAGAAAGATGATTTACTTGGTTTGAAGGGTTTTGTGGTTGTTAGAAATGAGAGAGGAAAACGTGAACAGGGTAATTGATTCCTTGTCTAGAGAAAAAGAAAGAGAAAAGAGAGTAGTAATGAGAGCAGAGTGGCACGCTTTGGAGTTAGAATGAAGAAGAAGGGAACAGGGTCTAGGAGATTTTATAAAGCTGTCATCACGCGCGTGCGTCTCCATCTTCCTTCCCATGGGGGCGCCACAATGCCAGTTTGGCAGATCATTACGTGGCATTCTTTATTCCCCAATAGTCCCTGCTTTCCTTTTTCTTTCATCAGTTCTGAATTCGAATTTGTAGCCGTTCATTACAGGTGCCGGGAGTTCGTGTGCGGTCAAGCATTCAATAGTGTTCGTATGCTCGTCAAAGCGCGCGCTGGGAGGGCCCACATGTTAAAATGGAAAGATTAGATTAATTGTAGCAGTAATTTTTATGATTACCTGCCAATTTGGCCTGTGGATTTGAATGGGGAGCAAATATAGTTCGGGAATTTAATTCTACATACCTGTCAGGGTGACTTTAATTCTAATTTCTTAATTTGGTAACCATTATTTTTTTAAAAACGAGTGGTATTAATGTTTAATAGGATTCAAATTACCATTGAGCTGGCAAGGCCATAATTGATTCTTGTTAGGAAACAACTTGCAGTGTTGAAATATAAAAAGGTTTTTGTAGAATTCGGTTAATAATAATTTCACAAGTATACTAAAAAAAGCAACGTTTAATTTGCACATATACTCTCTCTCTCTTTTTCACCTCTCCTCATGGACTCAATTAGGGCCTTAAAAGACCTTCCGTGAAACGCGCAAATTGAGGCTTAAAACACACTTTAGAAAAATCTTGTAAAATTTTATGTTATCATTATTATTATTTGTAATAAATTTTAATGGTAAATATTCATATATCTCGTGATTTTTTTAGATAAAATATTAAATAAAATTTATATTTTTAATCCTATTATATATATAGACACACACGACTAACAACAAAGAACAAGATCCTCTCTAGTTTTAAAATGAAACGCTAACTTTAATTTGTATATATATTACCGTGTAAATATTATTTTCTTTGACAAGTATATATATCTATAAACAATTTAGACAAATTATAAAACATAATTTAAATGCAGTATCTTAAAAAACTGTTTGAAAATAAAGTTTTAAAGAGCAAGAAGAAATTTTTTTAAAAATTAATTTAAATTTTATATAATATTTTTTTACCATATATATATATCCTTGACTAAAAATAATTTAGATTTCTATATACAATATTTATATTAATTTAAATCAAACAAATTATACGATATTTAAATAATAAATAATTATTAATATATTATATTTTTTTATATTTTAAAATTTAAAACAAAATTAATATATCTTTGGTGAAAATATACATACTGCACTCCTCCCCCTCTCTAAAATTCTATTCTCAAGTGCTCCCGTTCTGCCATAACTCCCAAGTGAAATTCGGTTCGATAATGGATTGTTGAGTGTCTTTGGTATTTTTCTTTAATTAAAAATAAAGTTTTATTTTCAAGATTTGCACAATAATAACTATTATTTATGAATAATTTTAATTAAAATATTATATTTAATTTTATTTAGTGAAACTTTCTAAAACTGTATATCTATAAATATGTGATGTTAAAGCATTGAATTATACTTTATTAAATATTTTTGTTCAGAAAATAATAAATAATTATTATGTTTTTAATGTAATAATTATTCTTAACTGAAAAATATTTTTAACAGAACACACAACACACAATCCATTATTGTAAAATAAATTATTTGTTTCTATCTTCCTCTAGGTGAGATTCAATGCTGCCATTAAATTATGTTCTTTGTTGCATATACTTATGCTCTGGACTATAGCCCAGAATGGATGAATATGCGTCAAGATTGGTTTGGTTGGTATATAACGTATATTATAATGATTAACAAGTGTTTTCACAACACTGATTAAGAAGATAAAAACAAATAATAGTAAACAAAACATAAAAAAAACCAGTATATTAAAATTATAAAAAAATTGAATTATTATAAACATTAGATATTTGTTAATCGTTATTCTTAGCACAAGTTATCAATGTTTTTTATGATTTTGTCAACATGTTTTCTTTTATAACTGAATTAAACATTTTAAAACTCTAAATTTTATTTTAAACAAATTATTATGTTTTTCATTTTTAATGTAATAAATTATTTTTTAATAATTTTGTTATTTTTAAGTATTTCAAATCAAAAGTAAAGATAAAAAAAATTCATTTTAAAATGCACCTTAGTTCATAGGAGCTACAATTTTTTTATTAATCATTTAACCAAGTGAATAAAATCAAACAAACATGGCAGATGCATAATGCATTTGTTGAGGGACAAATTACTAAATGGGCCACTTTTGGGAGATTACACAAGTAAAACGGGAATAATATCGGATGCTTTGGTTGGGACTTGTTATCATTGGAAATTGATGTTCTTAAGAAAAATTGTTTTGTTTCAATGTGTATTTTATCATGTTGATATATAAATAATATAAACAATTGTGTTAAATAAAAAAACACAATATATGGTTTTAAATAAGAATTTACCTTAACTGATGACAACTTTTATTAATTAAAATTAATAAAAATATATTTTCTCTTTTTAGTATACTCATTGTATTACTAAATATCATAAAAACAACAATTCATTTTACTTTTATCATTAAAGGCTATCCATAAAAAGGATGCAATAATAGAAATTTACAGCTAATGGGTGGAGATAAATATCTAAGTGACAAACAAAGTAACTCGGTTAATACGGATCTCAATCTTCTTTAGTGAAAATTTTCAATCACTAATCTAATATTAATTGTTATTGTTTTTAAAAGGAATGGTTTAGTAGTATTAATAGCTAAAATTCTTTCCAATGATGTCGTTACGGAGGATTCATTTCCCGATTAATACCTTTGCTTTGAGATTATGGGACCCGTTTTGCTTATACAAATGTTATAATTTATTTTCTTTCTTATATACAATCAATACTTTATACCTACAAATATTATAAACATTTATAGATAATTTTCCATTTTTTAAAAAGCATCATTTAATGTCGCTTTGAAACGTTTTTATAAAATTAAAATTTGTACGTAATGCAATAATTATAAATTTATAATATTCTTGTTTCTTTTTGTTATAAAAAAAACTCATGATCATGTATTTTTATTTTATAACATAAAAACAGCGTTTCGTTTTACTTTTACCGTCGAAGGCTCTATCCATAAAAAAGGTTGTAACAATTAACTTTTACGGCTAATGGGAGGAGATGAATATTAGACAATCCACGTAACTCGATCAATACAAATATTTTTTTTAAAATTTAAAATATGCAATAAATATTATTTTACTGTTTAAATTAATCTTAATCACTGGAGTTAAAAAATTATAATTAAAATAACATTTTTGAAATTGAAACCCGCAAAAACTCGTGGTCTTAAGTAGAATGGAAATAACAGATAAAAAGTATATAAAAAGAAAAACAAGTGGATCAGAGAAAGATAAGCTTTAATCATGGAAAATTAAAGAGCAAGAAAAATTTAGAGGAGAGAGCCTGTAAACTTGGTCTTTTAATCACCGAAGAGCCTCTCGGCCGTTGGCTGAGTTTAATTGCGGGTAACGGCTACCTCTATTCGGCTTTTCAATGCCGCAAACTGTATTCCAAGAGCGACCAACATTTAAATTGTTTTACAAATATTTTTAAAATCTGGAAATCAAATAAATCGGGAATTTTAAAAAAAAAAAACAATTGCATAATTTGAGTATAGTAGAATGAGCTTCAAATTCTTCAAGCTCTCTTCAACTGGTATCGGACCAACAACGTTAATTATTCCACACGAACTCTCCGGTGCCCTTAAGTATCTTTTTAAATTTGTTTAAGCAAAATTAGAAATGGACAGATAATTCGAATCCTTGATGTTATATGAAAAATAAAACATCACAGCAAGAAAATGCATAGCAATCAAATTGTGCGGGTGACGGTGATCAAATAATACGTAACTGCAAACACCATTAGTCCATTACCATCTCTCTATCAAGTATAGCACTGGTTACAGGCTAGGATTAACTTGATAAGGCCTGACACTTGTTGATATGGCTATTGATTTAGATGTGGACAACAAAACACTATATGATTAATTATACTGAAAAAGATATATCGGACTTGAACCAAAATGCAACGAACCCCACCATAAACTATAACATCCATGTCCCACGCCCTTTGTGCATCCAATTTGGAGATGAAGTAAAAAGTTAATCATATGACACAAAAAGGTTTTTCATTTGGTCTCTTAATTCGGGTTCAACGAGCGTAATGACCATTTTGAATGAACGCTGTCGTTTAGAATATGGCTATAACCAAGCATGGTGAGAATGGCTTCGAACAATCATAATACAAATATCTTAATTATTATGTACTTTCGACTTCAGATCGCAATGCATCTTAAAGGAATTTCATAATTTGTAGGGACATTGCTGAAGATATCACAGTGTGGTGTTAGCAAGAGGATATTGAACAATTTAATAGAAGGGATAAATTTTTATTAAGTGGTTTCATAATTAAGTAAAAAAGAATTCTGTAAGAAAAAGATAAACATTGTTGTTTCTTAGACCCACAGCTTCAATCATTCTTCCTGTTTATATATGTTCGAAAGCGCAAAAACGAAATCGTGTTTTGGGTTCGGTGATTTTGGCTACAATCACGAAGGCTTTTCACATTTTGAGTTATAAATGCCACCAAGGAATGAAGATTATACACGGAATTGAGGGTTTATATGTTAAAAAAATAAAAATAATTTTAAATTATTAAATATAATTGAAATATAATATACAATTAATATAAAAAATATTGTTTTGTTTAATTGTATTTCTAGTTATTGTGATTTTAGACATTACTTTTTATATTAATTTGATTTTTAATTTTTAAAATTGTGCATATTTAGTCTTTAATTATTTTTTTTATCTATAAGTTTTAAAATATTTACAAATTAAATTGATTGAATTGTTATCTATTCAAAATTCACTAATTAAAATATCAATAATTACTCAAAACTACATAAATTAATTTTGTTTTCATCGTAAACCTTAATATCTCACCTTTTTGTTTACAATTATATTAATTATTACTTTTTTGTTTTTAAAATTATTTTAGATTTCAATTTCATAAAAATATAACATTTTTCTTTTCGGACTTGTTTGTTGGCTATTAGACACGTCTTTTCTTTTTTATATCTTAATAGTCTCGTACGTCTTTTCTATGTATAAAAGACTTTCATTATTAAAATTGATTGCATGTTTCTATTTTACAAAGATTAAAAATAATTATTATTCTTTATTAAAAGAATAATTTTACGACAATATTTATTTATTTTAAAATATTTAAACAAAACTTGAAAGTCATTATATTTCATCATTATTCAAAATACAATTAAAATTAAAAATAACACTTTTTTAAAGTCTTAAAATGTTACTTAATACTGTTATTTTTAAAATATTTTAATCATAATTAAAAGTATCATTAGTTTTTTTACTAAAATATTATATAGTAAAATAAATAAATTTGAATATTTCTAATACCGGTATACTTAATTTTTAAATAAAATTGAATTAATATAGCAGTTAAAGTTAGTATTTTTAAACAACAAATTCAAAATACGAATTAATAAGACATAAAAAACATCACAAGTCTCATGGTATTGGACCTGATTCAAGCAATAAGTTTGATAAATTAAATTTATAATTGCATTATATAAAATTGATTAAAATAGTTAATAAAAATATATTGCTAAGATAGTAATCCGTTAGGAAGGTAGGGTGACGCAGCACGGCATGCGGCATGTCCCTGAGCAGTGTAGCACGTGCGAGGACATGGCAACGAAGCTGATTCTCTGACACTGGCAGTGTGATAGGCGCGTGGATTAAATACTACATACGTGTGGTTAAAGTTCAGCATGGCGCATGCACAAGTACCAGCAGTACAACACTGCCTCTTCCTCATCCATCATTTCACCCTTTCCACGTTTTTTGCTCTTTCGGTCTCTTTAGGTGCAAATTAGCAATACCACAAAACAAATAACAACGATAATAATCTACCTTTTGTATAACATAATGATAAAAATTTAAACTTGTGAATAGCACCTATGTAAAGGAATGAGACCTCAGGTCTGAGATACATGACATCTTTTTGAAATCATCCTTTTTAAAAACTTCACATCAATGAAATATATCTCCTAATTCTCACTGTGTCTCTGTGAAAGTTGTTTTCTTGCAGCCGGTAATGTGAAATTTGCCGCAAGGAAACAAGGTGACTGTCCTGCGTGTGCAGGTGCTGTGTCATATGCCCATCGTCACATCTCTCTGTTCTCTTCTCTGTCGCCTTTGGTACGCATTACCATTCCCAACCTAACCTGCCAGGGACACATCTAGTGAAAGAGATGAATTTAAATATTTGTAAATAATAATTTTTTTAAAGTATTATCCAAAAATTAAAGCCTGTTCTTTTCCTTGAGCTACGAGCTTAACATAACCGGTCTGTGTCGGAGGGAAGTGTTTGTTGCATCCCCGTGCATGGCTGTTATTTTGTTTCCTGTTGTTCTGATATGAGTTCTCACTTCATAATCGTCACGTGCACAGCATGCATCTTTTTTGTGTCCCTCCGTTTTTGCGCTTGTCAGTTGTTATGTCGCGTGTCTCAGGAGTAAATGAAGCTTCCCTCATCATTATCATCTCATCATTCTATCTATTTATCACACTAAACCAATCCACTGTATATGTGAATTATTAAATTTAATGGTTCTTAAGGATTTTTCACACTCAGTTGTCATCATCAATTCAACAATCAATTCAGTTAGCCCATGGTTTTAGATTATAACCGGGTTGATTCATCCTATAACAAACACTCACATAATTAATTCAATTAAATTACCACCTTAAATGTGTTTTTTATTCTCACATTTTATTCAAAATTTTTACTCCTTATTTTTATGAATTATTATTTTTAATTTCCTTCACTATAGTGATTCAATAAAAATTAATATTTGACATTATTTCAATAAACTAAATTAACGATAGGAATTGTGTTTTAATTATTGAAACAAAAATTTGATTTTCCCCAATTTTAATAAACTTAGTTGATTGTCAAGGTGGATGGATAAGATTACAAAGATATAATTGAACAGACTCAAAACAGGTTTATTTATTTATTTTTTTAAGAGGAATAATGAATTTTCTTAAGTTATTGCTACAAGTTGTAAAAATATTTTAAATTATTTAATCCAGACACACTTTCTTAAATTATGATCACCAGTGAACTAATATAGTATTCTTTCACTTAATAAAGCCCTTTACTTATTAATTTTTAATCATAAAAGTTCATTGTTTTATGCCTACTATTAAAATTGAAATCTATCCTTTAAATTATAATTTTAATACTTAGTAATTCTTTTAGAATTAAAGTCACCGTTTCACGACAATTTCATGAAATTGTAAAATAATTAATTAGAACTGTATCCAATTTCTAACCAAGACCGTAGAATTGTCGATTTTTCACAACTTCTCATCTAAAATGTGCAATTGTTTTGGGGTCTACCACCATTAGTTCTACCGTTCTTGTCACCGTTTTTACTTCATGTTTCTATCTTTACCATTATAAATATCTCTTTTATTTTGGTAAACCATAAATTATAACTATCTCTATTGTTGCTACAACTGTCACACCACATTGGGCCTTATGGACCCTTTTCTTTCTCAAATCCGCCAAATAACGGGCCCTTAACTACAAGTATCAAAACATGTTCAACACAAATTATTAACCCAATTAAATTTATATTTAATAAATTTATTAATGTATTAAAACTATATTATAGTTACTATATTGGTTATCATTGAACCAGAAAAAGGAAAAAAAGGGTTGAATATCCGCAGGAGAGCAGCTCCAAAACTTCAGCAGATCATTTTCTTCGTTTACCCTGTGCTGTCCACGCAAGAGTTGCGTTCCCTGTTAAGTATTTTCTACACTTACATTCCAATTTAGAGATAGCAGATGTTTGATGCTGCGTATTAAGCACGCATAAATGTGGTGTTTCGTTATCCAAATGAGCCACCAACTCAATGGTAGTTTTTTTTTTAGTCTGAATGAATTATAATTCTATATATAACCTAAATATGAAATTTATAATTCTGAACAAATTGCAGGATTTGAAATCAAAATTTCAAACTATAATTTAAATTTTATTATCCAAACATATTCGTAACAAATTGGAGAGCACAACTGCAATAGCATAATCTGATTCACAGTTTGTTAAAATTCAAGTATGGTTTAATTAAAAGAATCATCACATCTATTAGGGTGATGCGTCTGATATTAGTGGACACGATAGCAATTAAGAACAGAATAAAGTATTCGATATAGCACAAATTCATTTATTTATTTCTTCCCTTCAGGGTTTCAGTTCCATGTCAGCAATAATACAACATCCAATCCAAATAACCATAAGATAGACGACAAGCTGATGGCTCATACAAGGTAATCCAGATGTCTCAATTACAATAGTCCTGCTCCTGTTACTGGGAATTCAACCTCTGAAAATCCACCACTTGGTATAGATCACCTCGTCGTTGTTTAGTCACTGGGAGACTTGTCCTGAACAAATTAATAAATAAATCATATGATTATGATTGTCAATAAGAAGTTAAACATGTACTTGTAGTGTGAAGAAAAGAAAACCTTCTTTGCTCCAACATTGAATAATCAATTTCTGCTATGATGATTGCCTCCTCATGTTCTGTAGTAGCCAGAACTTCTCCAAACTGCGACATCCATATATTCCACAGTAAGCACTTGTGCACAAATCAGCTTCAGAAGCTTTATTGACAATTAAAGATATTTCCCTTGCTATTTATTATTACTTACTAAAATTGGAAAAAATAATACCAGCTTCCACAATCAGCACATTTCAATGGCTCTACTGAAGGAAAGCTAAACATAAAGGGTATACTTACTGGTCCAACAAGAGTGGAGTGTCCCCAAGCCACATAACCAGATCCAGTATCCCGAGCAGGTGAACAGGTAGCCACGTATAACTGTCAGAAATGAATTTCCGTAGGTTAAGCGTCACTACACCATAGAGCTTAAAAAATTTGCAATTAATTCAATGACTAATATGGTCACAACATTCAGAATAACCCCTAACTACACCCTGCTTTAATCACACAATCAACTGCATCGATACCAACAATTTGACAGTAAAATACCGAGACACATCCTTTTTCTTAATCCCCACTCCATTCTATTACTTCCATTTGAGACATGTAGGAGTCATGGAGTATTCCTAACATTTCTTGTTAATCTGTGTGGATAATCAAGCTAAGTGGCTAGATCAGACTACGAATGTAAGAATCTAGAATCTGTTTTTTAGAACACATTTACTCTAAATTCCTAAAGGGTTTTCTAGTGTTTTATTCCTTCTGAGATTTCATATTCATAATGCATATATCTCCTAATTTAAAGCTACTGTTTTAAGACCATTATTTGGTTCATCAATCAAGAACTCCACTAAATAAATAAAAGTGATTAGATGATTTTCAGATTTGATATACTTTTACATTAAAATATACATGCAGTAAAAAGCCAAATCAGTTCCAAAAATATGGGGTCATTACCTGATTATCTGTAGCCCTGCATGCGAAGAAGCAAAACAAATATTAGCAAGGGAATGTGGATTATTTGCTACTGCTTAATCAATAAATGTTTTAAAGAAGTTTAAAACAAAGTTTGCACTGCCAAGGATAAGAGTCAGAACAAGTAAATGGAAGCAAAACAAAGTGAAAGGTAACCGAAATATTTATATTCTAACTTGTATAAAAATTGAAGGACTCAAAATGAATAAAATTTAAATCGGTATTAATTTCAAATATCCTCATATTCTTAGAAAAAATAAATATTTCAGCCTTATTTGGGAATGAATAGCATTCTGAAAACTTACAAGACTATATATATAGGGCCATAAAATTTAAAAGAAACACTATGCACTAGCACAACATATGTTTCAGGTTGCTAAATGTTCCATTAAGTTGTATTCATTACTACCTTGCCCTCTGCAATAACTCCCAATGCAATGGTCCAGTTGTCATGTTGAATGCCCCAGGATAGCAGAGTAAGTGAGCACCTGAATTCAAGAGCTAACAGATACTGTAACTTTCCCTAAGCTTAAGATCTAGAAAATAATAGTAACAGTGCCATGCAAGTTTGGAAACAAACTGAACAATTAATCCCAAGCAAATCTTACAGGTAGCTTAGTAGCTTACACAAATAAGAGGAATAATTGGCAGATTACACAATTAAGGGAATGAAATATCATACCAAGGTATATGGATTTGAAATTTCGTTTAGTATATCCCTGAAATAAGAAATACTCTAAGAGGCAGTGTTGCCCGAAGTATGTGATGAAACAAAACTGTTACTCATACATTCTAATAACACTTAGAAGGCATGGATGAAACACTTTGTTGGAGAATTCAAATCATAGCTAACCAATCAAAAGTAGAATGAGATTAATTGTTTCCAAGCAAATTAATGGAAAATACAAACCTCTAGCAGCATATATCATTGCTAGTTCAGGAAACCGAATGTCATAACAGATGCCTATGCCAATGCGTCCAACCTCTGCACAAACCAACTCATTATTACAGTTTGTTTACCTCCAAGCATGGACATTTTCATTACAAATAAAAAAAACTGGAAAGAACAAAAGATTAGAGTACTCTCATGACATGGTAGTCAGAGACTCTCTCTCTCTCTCACACACACAATATGGCCGAGCATGTAAGCTCAAAATAAGATGTGGAGAAGTGTAAGAAGCTAAATATTGAAAAGTTAATCCAGCCCTAAAACCATAATAACTTTCATTTCCTTTCCTCATACTTCTCTGCAGCTGGTAAATATTAGTATCAGCTCAGTAGTACAAACTTCAAACATACATTTCCCATTTACATGATGACAAACATAACAACTGCATCACTATCAAAACAGACAGAACTTAGGAACACGGAGATGAAAGAATATGTCAGACCTGTGTCCACAACAGTGGGAGTCTCCCCAGCAGTAAGAGTTTTGGATTCAATAAAGGTAATCTTCCCAGGGATATCAATATCAAAAAGATGTATCTGTAGCAACGCTGGTATGAGCAGAAATTAAACACAACAAAGCAAATACTAAAATATGAAAAACAGAGATTCCATATCAATGAAAGATTAAAACTAGATTCCTAGGAAAGTAATGACCTTGCGGTGCTTGGCTAATAGCTTTCCATCAGTGCCAAAGACACAACAAGTGTTGTATAAGCGACCCTCAGAACGTTCTGGAATAGAACCACCAACAATGGTGATCTTTAAAAGACGAGAGAGTTCAGAGAGCATGGCAGTGGAAGGAGAAGCATCGCCACCAGCATCAATGTCCTCAGCATAGACGGGAAAACTATCATTGGAATAAGGGCTGTTCCAAATTTCCTAACAAGACAAGGTTACACTTTCACTTAAATTGATGAAGCGTGTTGAATTGATGCAGAAGAAGGGAATAAAAAAAGAACTCACGGGTAAAAGAACAAGGTGTGCTCCCTTTGATGCAGCATCCCGAATGGAGTTGCGGGCATGGTCGATGTTTCTGTCCTTGTCGGGGGTGACTGAGAGTTGACAAAGGCCAATCTTGAACTGAAAGGAAAGAAGAAAAATTAGTTAGTGGGTAGTGGGTAGGTGTGTGTGTGTGTGTGTGTGTGTGTGAGAGAGAGAGAGAGAGAGAGAGAGAGAGAGAGAGAGAATGCCTTGGTGAGAGGGGGAGTGGGCATGTGAATGGGTGGTGGGGCACGTGCTCGTTCAGAGTTGAAGGATGCGGCCATGATTGGAGAAGGGGAGGAGTAGTTGTGGCGGGGATTGGAGGAAACAGAGAGAAAGGGAGTGGAGAAGAAGGGGAGAGAGTTGGGAGTGTGGTTGTGGAAATTGAAAGATTTCAAGTTTAGGAGTGATGATATTGCTGATGCTTTCATTTCTGCTTTCTGCAAATCCAAACCCTTCGCTTTGATCTCAGGTCAGTTCATCGGAACCTTGCCAATGGAATCTCATGATTGGGTCCCGCTTTCCCTTAACGTCTCTGATTTCAGGATTAAATACTATATTTTACCCTAATTTTCTCATCGCCAATCAAATATGTAGTTATAGAATTTAAAATATATATAAATGAATAGACCTAAATTTTTACAAAAAATAAAAATGAATTAAGTACAAAAATACACACACACGTATTCACATTAATTGAGTTAGTTATTTTTATGTTCTTAAATTAATTTTTTTTATATTCATATTCTTAAATAATAATAATAACAATAAATAATAACTATGATAGTGAAAATGATAAACTCTTAAAAAATTATACCTCACTTAATTTTTATGACCTTGCTTAATGATATCTAGAAGGATACTTAATAAAATATTTTTTGTAGGATTAAATATTAGAGAAAATTTAAATAATAAAAAAAATATTACATAAGAATTCAAGAAGTATAATAATTTTTTTAAAAATATTTGCTTAAAATTAATCGTTGAAATTTGTCGGTGTAAGCTAGGTTTTGATTTTTTCAAAAAGGAGGAAAGGACAGTTTTATTTCATTTATAATAAATATTTTTAAAATAAATAAATTGACAAACTAGTATAGGAAAATAAGTTGAAGAAAACGATGATAATTAAACGAGAAACCTTTAAAATTTGTTTGTGCATTAGGTTTTGGTCTTTTGGAAGGGAGGGGTGAGCAATTTAACTTCACTTATGGTCAGTATTTTAAATTTTTTTCTTAAAGAAATAAATAGATGAATTACTATAAACTTATTAAGTTACTAATAAACCAAATAATTCTTTTGATAAAACAAATATCTCATTCTCCCTACCTCGCCACTCTCTCTCCTCTATACTATTATGAAGCTGAACTTTTATTGCAAGTTAGTCCTTAACTTTTTTTACGATACTCGAATAATAAAATTGTATGCTTAAGTTCAGCACGGTGTGTCAATGACCATGTTCGTGATCCATGTGTTCGTGACATTTCTATTCATCAATCTGTTCGTACACCCAGGAAAACCCCAGGTTGGGGACTTTTGATTTGCTCGAGTATTGTTTGAACTGGGCGGTGTTGGTACTCATCCACGAAAATCGTAGGTTGGGGACATTGATTGGCTTGAGAATTGTTTGAACTCGCCGGTACGAGAGTGCCATAGGTGAGGAAGCTCTGGTCAGAGTCATTGGTGTTGCAGAGAGAGGAGCCATGACACTTTTCATCGTTAGCACTGTGTGTCAACTAATAAAGGGAATTCGTTGGTAGCACTCGTACCACAACCAAGTCAACTCGGACGAAATCGTTGGCAGCCACTCATCACACACGCTCAACTCAAGGTCAACAGGGCTAAGGGCGTGTTTGGTGCAAATCAAATTCTTCCTAAAAAGTGTGACTTCATCATGTCCGTTGAAAAGCCCAACCGAACCGACTTCAAATATTCCAACGGTCGATAACTGTCACTCGCGCCTCTTTCTCCCTTGTGTATATATATATATATATATATATGATCCATTCCGACATGCCTTTCACAGTTTTTATCGTTGTCTCAAATCACCAACGAATCGTGGCGGCGCTGTCTCTTTGGCGCCGCTACTCCCATCACCACACACACACGCATTTCCATTTTCACCGCCCCAAACAGCAACAAGTTTTGGAGGTGTGGTGATGGATAACGCGGGGTTTGTTCCGTCTCATGACACCAACATTTTCGATTGGAGAAACGCCACACTTGCCCACTTTACTACAAATGATGCACCCAATTCACTGTCCCAACAACAAAATACTCCTTATGGACTTGAACCCTTTATGGACCCAATCATCCCACAGGGTAATCTTCCCTTTGCGGATCCCATCATCCAACAAGGTAACGTTCCCTTTATGGATCCAATGGTCCAAGATCACTTCATGCACAATAATGGAGGAACAGGGAACTTTCTAGAGGGTCCATCGTTGCATGACCCTGAAAATGAGACTTTGGAGTTCAACGAAGTGTTACCACTTTCGCATTGGCCCCAATCACCAGCCCCATTCTTTTGCAGTTGCTGTCATGTTTTGAGAGAAATAATTCACACCAATGGTAAGCACGTTTTGAATTGCATGATCAAATTTAATACATTTCACCATAATTTTTACTCTTTTCATTCTCTTAAATTTGATGTATCTTAGGTACAAATTTTCAAAAGCTTGAGATTCATGGAACGCTCGGCTTGATTACCCATGCAATTCACCGTCAAAATATCACCGTGGCTGGTCCTAATAACGTTCAATATGAAATGATTGAGTACGTTCTAATTTAACTTCGAATTTTTGGCACCACTTTTTCTTCAACCGTATTTGCATGTCATGTCGCTCGACGAGTTCAACTGTCATAGTATCATAACTGGAGCGCTTTTATCTAAAACAAAATTTTATTGTTATTTTTTAGTTTAATAATAATTAAATTCAGGTATCTAAATAAATTTCTTGCATTCAAAGGTGTTGGCTATTGGTATTTTAGTGTTTATTTCTAAATCTTCCTTGCTTTCTTTTTTCAGCTTTTGCTACAGAAACCCAGATGAAATTAGGACTTTCCTAATAAATTACTGCGCACAGCAAGCTTCATCAGGGTACGTTATTATGCAAGATCCATTGTCTACCTATTATGAGGCCCTCTGCACGGGACTGGACTGGACTGAAGATTTAAGTGATGAATGCATCGATTTGAATCCTAATAATTCAGGTTGGTTTATAATTTAAAAACAGTATCAAAATATGTATTATGCTGATTTCAATGGTTATGTTTGTAGCAAATGAGATGGAGCAAGAGGCTGAGAATGGAACGGGTACTAAAATTTCGCTGGCGTCACAGGTTATACTTTTTATTCTTTAAAGAAGTGTTTGTTTTATTCCTTTTTTGAAAATCTATTTACTGACTTTGATTGTCTTTGGGTAGAGGGAGAGAGCAGGGAGGATGGAATTGAGTGATTTCAGCGATTACTTTCATCTACCAATTGAGGAAGCATCGAGACAAGTGAGTTTATGCCCGACGGTGGTGAAGAAAATATGCCGCAGGGCAAAATTGAAACGATGGCCTTATAGAAAGGTTGAGTGATTCGGTTACTATGATATTTGATTTGGTATGAATATTGAATGTGTGTGGTCGTTTGACGATGAGGATGTATGAATGTATGTATGTTGTTTCAGGTGAAAAGCATTACGAAGCAGATCGGATTACTGAGAAGAGCACTTGGGTCAGAAGATGCAGTGTCAAGGGTAAGAACTCAAGAGGAAATTAACAGACTTGTACAGCAAATGATTCGCCATTGTGGTGGAGTTCTCCCAACAGCAATAGATATCAACCGATTGTAATTGTTATGCATGGAGCGGAAGTACACCTTATTATTTTTATCATTTTGTGTAAATGACTTTCTTGTTTATGTAATTAGATTTTCTCAGAGCTGATAAATGTACGTGAATATTGTTTTTTAGAGATCTTGCTACAAAATAATACTTCCTATGTAAATTGACCAATGGTTAGTATGACCAATGTTGTTATGATAAGAGAGAATTTTTGTACAGGGATGAGTTTAATTAAGAAAAGACTATTTGGGCATGCATGTAAAATTTCAGTGTATATATTCCGTCGACCCGAATTAATTGATTTATTTTTCTCATTTTCTGTCAAAACACACTGGACTATTTAACAATCTCTCACTCGTACCATATTTTTTTTTATAGTAAATAGCATCCTGATTAATAACAAAACCGGGTTATCAAATTCCTAAAAATATTGAAGAGTTAGAATTTTTACCTTTTTTTTAAAATACCTAAAAGTGGGGGAACCATAACAGATTTAATTTGGAGGCTTAAAGTGGGGGAGCCGTAACAGATTTAATTTAAACTTTAATACTTGAAAAGTAAAGTTAGTAATATGGACAAACAGGAGGCAAGTAGTAGTGTTAAGCTTCTATTTTGTTCAATGCTAATAAATTTCAACCCCATTTCCAAGACTTATTTCTTGAAAAGGGAAACGGGCACCAGCAGGCCAAAAGTCCTATAAATTTATGCAATTTTTTATATAAAAAAATGTGTACTGGATTCAAATATTTGGAGCGAAACAAAGCAATGCCTCACGGAGAGGTGTCTTGAGAGTCGCTGGCGGCAAGTGGCAATGCGGAAAGCCATTGCAAAACCCTGTTCTTCATGTACGCCTCCAATCCCAAATCTCTCTGTCGTAACCTCCATTGCATCAATCCTTCAAAACCAAAATCCCCAAAACCCACATTGTGAATCTCTCAAAGAGTTCTCATCTCACCTCACCCCAACCTTCGTTATCCACGTCATCAAGAATCTAAAGAACCCTCACCACGCCCTTTCATTCTTCAACTGGGCCTCAAACCCTAAACCCAACCCTAACAACTACTCTCACACTCCCTCCTGTTACGCCGCCATCACCGATCTCTTGCTCTCTCACTCACTCTTCTCCACCGCATTCTCCTTCCTCCGCCACTCTAACAAACTCTCTGATTCCCTCATTTTCAGATTCATCAATGCTTTGGGTCAACGTGGCGATATCAGGGGTGCCATTCATTGGTTCCACAAGGCCAAAACCTTTACAAGAGGACGCTATTTGTTCTCCTGTAACGCCATATTGGGTGTGCTTGTGAAGGCGAATCGAATCAATTTAGCCCAGGCTATTTACGATCAGGTTGTAGCAGAAGGTGTGGTGGAACTCGATGTTTGCACTTACACCACCATGATTCGGGGATTCTGTAAAATGGGCATGGTCGAGAGTGCAAACAAGGTGTTCGACGAAATGCGCTGTGGACCCAACATGTTTACTTACAACACTTTGATTCACGGGCTTTGCAAGAAAGGTTACATGGAGGGTGCCAAGAAGGTTTTTAACAGGTTGGTAGAGAGTGAGAGTTGTAAACCTGATGTGGTGACTTTTACCACTTTGATTGATGGGTATTCCAAGAAAGGTGAGTTACGTGAGGCGTTGAAGTGCATGGAGGAGATGGTGGAACGAGGGTGTTGCCCTAATGTTGTGACCTACAACGCGTTGATTGAAGGTCTTTGTTTGTGTGGGAATGTGGACGAGGCCAAGAGGATGATGACTAGGATGAGGTTAAACGGCTTGAAAGACAATGTTGCCACAAACACTAGCATTTTGAAGGGTTTTTGTATTGTGGGAAAGTCTGATGATGCTATTAACCATTTTAAGGGAATGATTAGTCGTGGGATGAATCCAGATGTGAAAGCATATAGTGTCATTGTCAATGAGTATTGCAAGATTAGAAAACCGAGTGAAGCAGTGTCTCTTCTGAGGGAAATGGTGATCAGGGGCATTAAGCCAAGCATGTCGAGTTTCAATGCAGTGTTTAGAGTTCTTGTCGATAAGGAGGAGCTTGAAGAAGTAGTTCTTCTTTTAAAGCAGATGCCTCGGATGGGTTGCACGCCCAACTTCTTATCGTATAGCATTGTGGTTTGCAGTCTTTGTAAAGTGAAGGGTAAGATGCAACAGGTTGAAGAGCTTGTTGGGAACATGCTTCAGAATGGACATAACCTGGATGCCACCATGTACAATTGCTTGCTTGCTGGATATTGTGAAGATGAGGATGAAGAAATGGCATTGAAGACGGTTTATGACATGATTGACAAGAACTTTGTTATCAACCATGACACTTTCTGCACTTTTGTGAAGGAGTTGTGTGCAAAGGAAAAGGTCAAAGAGGCGGAGAGAGTACTTGAAGAGATGTGCAGGAGATACCCTGTGTCTGATGTAAATGCTTATAGAATGGTGCTACGCCAGTTGGGTGGGAATGCTGAGGGGCTGCGGTTTCGCAATCCTCCTTTTCTCCTTCTGCATCAACTTTCATAAATTTTGTATCTAACCAAGCTCCAAAATCTAATAATCTTTTCCTCCATTTTTGAAGAGGTGGTGCAGTTTGCTGAGGATCCGGATCAGCAATAGCGCAGGGGCAGAGCACAGGAGAAACTGTTGACGATGTTCATTCTATGTAGTGTTTGGCCTGTAACTGCCGTTTGCCATCAAGCCTGGGATCGTTGGTTGGTCAGTGCCGAAAAGTTACATCCCTGATCGTGATTCCACCAAATAGATCAATAATTAAAATATTTATGATGTAATCAGTGCTACAGTAGATCCTTTTATTAAGAGGTTCAATTACTCTATAGGTCCTTCAACTCTTCAGCATAAAAGATGGTTTCGGATGTGAATATATATATATATAAACCGAGTTTAAAAAATCCAAAAAAAAAAAAAAAACAAACAAACAAAGGAACCTAGAAAACACCTCTAGGGCACTTCAGGAGTCTAAAGCATCCAAGGTTAATAAAGGAACTAAATCGGAGAGCCCTTTCTAAAACAGAAAAAGGCATCCCACAATTTAATTCAAATTTGGCAAGCCAATGTGTCCAATTATTGGCTTTTTTGAAAACATAATTAAACCTGATAAACTGAATATATTTTAACAAATTTTTAATTTTCTTAATTATAAAAAACAAATAGTGGTTATAGTTGAAAAAGTTTACAATTAGGAAGATAACTTCTTACGAATCATATTCAATTTAAATTAACTGAATTTGTTTCAAAATAACAAGCTTAAGGTCCTAGTAAATTTTTTTCAAGTTCAGTAGCAGAGCTAAGGTAGTATAAGAGTTCAAAGCATAATAAAAATTAGCCTGCTTTGATTATCGCAAATGAGACCTCCAGAACTTGCATACCTAGAGATTTGGAAAGTTACCATCCATATTTAACTTGAGATGCGAATCAAGGGGAGACTGCCATTTTATAAGACTTGGATAATTCAGAACATAAGGACTAGCTACTTGATTCACCCTGCCATATGAACAGAAAAAATTGAACTTATACAAAATTTTATGGAAAAAAGAATCAGTAGTAAGAAAAGAGTTCTGGAAAATAGTATTGTTTTTTCATAAAATATAGATAATCATTTCAAATGAAATATTTTATATTTTAAAATTTTGACCAGACAACTTATAAGCCTGTGCAGAGTTGTACTAAAAAATGCAGACTAATTATCAGACAAAACTAAATGATTTCAAATTGATTTAGCAAATTAATAATCCTTAAAAATTTCTGTCATCTAGGATAAATAATTATATTTTGACTACACTTTTTTATATTTATGTTAACATCTATTGTGGGCAACTTTTCACTTGACTCTTTTAATTCCACACCCACAAAAATTATGTATTGGGGTCATTTTGCCCTTTCGAGACTCGACAACATACAACTATTGAAGAGTTAATACCTAGTTTCCACAATCACTTAAGATATTTGAGGAAGCTCTTTATGCAGGAATTTTAAATATAAAATTAAAGATAACACAATTATATATAATACACAACATAACAATTCAATACAATTCTAACTATATATAATTGAATAATTGCGTTAAAAGCGTATCTGATGAGAACCTACGAGTCATAAGCAATCCTGGTGACAACCTATGAGTCATAAGGAAGTTTTGAGTGAGCGTGTAGTACTCTCTTATCTGATTGCTATTATCCCACACTGGTAATGGTCTAATGGGGCAACAGTTATATAAGCCTAATTAGATGAGAGCAGAAACCTCACTGGGCACATAGAATAGTCCAACACATCACGTACTATTCACACTAAGAGGCCAATTACAATATCTATATAATAATAATTATTATTATACACATTTATTTTGCGTCATAATTAATAACAATATAACCATAATAATTTAATAATGCTATTCTATAAATTAATATAAATATAAATATTAATGTTAAAAAATCTAACACTTTAACCTCAAGTGAGGGGAAGGAGCGAGGAAAGCTGTTGTTACTATGAAGCTCCCCCAGAGAAAAAAGATGTAATAGCCCTGCAAAAACTGTAGCTAATTGCTTGTTGTTTGTTACTAAGAAGTTAATGAGCTACTTCCTAATCCAGTGATCCCCAGGTGAAGAGCACATTTATTATTTTTAAATTATTATATTTAGCATATATGAAAAATACTATATTAATATGTTAAGAATGCTTAAAAATATATTATATTTATCTAATTATAATTTTATGACAATATGATAATAATTGAATTTTTATACTTATGTATATGTATTATAATTAAAAACATACATAATTAAGTAGAGAAATAAGAGTAAAACCTTACTTTTATATATTAAATTAGGGGGGCCTATTAGATTTATATTAAATCTATACGAGAAGCAGGGTGTATTTTTAAAATACGGCGCATTATAAGAAGGTTGACGGACTCCATATAGTTCTATAAAATGGGGTTAACATATTCAATTGGTTCCGATTCAAATCCGCATAGAGAGAGAGAGAGAAAGAGGTCAAATCTTTATGTTTCCCTCCATTTATACACTGAGCACTCCCTCACACTCCAAACAATAAACATGGACGCAGCAGCACACGACAATCCCCGTACGGTGGAAGAGGTCTTCAGAGATTTCAATGGCCGCAGAGCTGCCGTGATTAAGGCCCTCACCACTGGTATCCATCTTCAAACCCATTTTTCATTTAATTATGCCTTTCACCTATTCCCTTGCTTTATGCAGATGTTCAAGAGTTCTATCAGCACTGTGATCCAGGTTTTCTTCTTCTCTTTCTCCATGTCTTTCACCTGTTATCTTGCTCCAATTCTACTCTCACCTCCTTCTCAATACAAGCCATTTTCGTTTTTCATTTGGCTATTGAACTTTTCTGTTTGTCTTTTTCCGAACTATATTATTTTATTTTATATCTTGTAGTTCTAACGTGGTCCGTATACAAATGCAGAACCGTGACGTCATGACACTGGCTTTTCCTTTTGTTAATTGCGACGCATTTCATTTTCTGTCCTCTTTTGCTCACTATTTTTTTCTGTACCCCAAAAATATTATAAAACGCCAACTTATTAATGAATATTGGATAAATGGAGCTCTTGTGAGAATTAGCATTTGAACCTAAATTCAACACACCTAATTGAAATTGAATAGAATTCAGTGGTTTCTTGTTCACAACTGCACACCCTTACCATAATGCAGCGCTGCCATTGCTGAAGTGGGAGTGGGGATATGCTTACAAGCATGGATGGAACCTTAATTTTCTTATTAATGCTAAGGAAGTGCATTAAATTTATTTATACAGTTGTGAAATAACTTTGCTTGAATTGTTCGAGCTTTGTGGTACAGAGAAGGAAAATCTTTGCCTCTATGGATTTCCTAGTGAGCACTGGGAAGTCAATCTCCCTGCTGATGAGGTGCCTGCAGAGCTTCCAGAGCCAGCATTGGGTATTAACTTTGCCAGAGACGGGATGCAAGAAAAGGACTGGCTATCCTTAGTTGCTGTACACAGTGATGCATGGTTACTTGCTGTGGCTTTTTTTTTTGGTGCTAGGTTTCGATTTGATAAGGCTGATAGGTAACTACTTTCCTTTTCCCCTTTATAGCCACTTATTATTGAATCAGAATAGGAAAAACGCCACTTATCTATTGGGATTTTGGTTGCTATCATACTTTATTACTACCATTTGCTATCTAGCATAGTACCTGTCAAAGCACATGCATTTTGACATGTATTTTCCCCATGATTAATCTAAAGCAACTCAATGGAATATTTGAAAGATGTTTGTTCACATGATTGTATTGTTGGGGAAAACCAAACACAAGAACACAATTATCTAAAGTGAGCAGCGGAAACAATTCCCCAAACTTGTAAGAACCTGTGAGGAGCAACAACAATAACAAATGGCAGCAACAAACACAAGGACACAGAGAATTATTTACGTGGGAAAACCCTCTCAATGTGAGAAGTAAAAACCCACGGGCTCAAGCCAGTCAATCAAGCTCCACTATAATCAAATGAGGTTACAAGAGAGTCTCAAAATACTGCACAAATTCGTGCAAACAACCAGCTAATACAACCAAGCAATAAAGCCTAACCAAAGAGAGAAAATCTCACAAAACAGAGCTGCTGTTCATACACGATTTCTCTCAGCCAAAACCTCCAATCGACGATCCCAGCGGTCAGAATGAAGAAATATACGTCTGGGAACTACTGTCAAAGTTTCAGCTCAATCCAACGGTTAACTAAGGAGAAATAACAATTTCTCAGCAGCTGGTCTGTGCAGAGTCACCAAAAACAGGGCTTCTGTGCGAAGACATTATCTCCAACTTCAGACCTCCAATTGACAATCCGAACGGTCAGAATAAAGAGCACCGTGTTAAGAATCTGCTGTAAAATTTTCAGCCCGATCCAACGGTTAACTAATTGGATATCAGAGAAATGAAGCAGCTGGTCTGGAGCTTCTTTTCTTCCCTCACTTCCCTTCTCTCTTTTTGATGCCTCTCTCCGAAAATGCTCACACTAGGCTGCGAAAATGGACTTCTCTCACCCACTCCACTGACTTCTCACTCCCCTCAATTAAGTGTGTAGAAAATGAGCTTGAAAATTTGGACTTTTGGACACATAGTTGGGAGTCCAACCCAACATGTATAAGGTTGAATAAAGATAATATGCTAGTTCTAACTTCAGTTCTCTGGATAAATTGATCTGAGAATTCAGTCATAACTCATAAGAGATTGATCAACTTACAATAGTCTTGTCCTGTTTTCATCATGATTAATATCGTTGGATTACTATCTGATTTTAGGAGGTTAGGACATGAAAAATGTACACAGATGTGCATAAAAGGCAGGTGGGGAGCTCACGTTTTTAACCTTCTTAGCACTTGTGGTGTTCACTTTTGTATGTACAAGGTAATAATGATAGGACGGTTCAAGAAATGCTGAGGGTGTTTGAGAATGGGAATTATATTCGGTACACATTTGGGATCTGGAATTGTTTTTAGATTTGCTATAATTTCAGTTTTTCCTTTTCGTACAAAATATTTATTCATTATCGTGATATTCTTTCAAGCTCTATTTCTATTGCTCAATGCTAATACTTTTTATTAATTAGATTGAGTATCTTGTTTCTGAGAACAGCAATTCTTTCTCTACCTAGCTTGAAATTTGTGCTCTTAGTAGGTCCAATTGCTAAGAGTGCTGCTGTTTGCATTCTCATGACTATAGATGGTTTATCCTATTTTTTTATATTTAATTTGATATATGTTTTCAGTTTGTTAACTTTCATTAGTATCTACTTCATTTCTTCGTATGCAGGAAGCGACTATTTAACATGATAAATGATCTTCCAACAGTATTTGAGGTTGTTACAGAGATAACCAAGAAACAAGGAAAGGCAAAGTCATCAGTTTCTAATCATAGCAGTAACAAATCCAATTCAAACTCTAAGGTATGACTAATCAAACATCGCTGATGGTATAGCTTTTCACAATGAAACTAATTACTTTTTTCTCTTTTTTTAATTTGATACAAGATTGGGTGGTTAGTTTAGGTCTTTGGACTTCAGATACTGGAGTTATAAGTAGGGATTCTTTTTTTTTCAGAGGAAAATGGTATGAATGTTTACATTGTTTAACGTAGATGTTTGTATTTGAATTGGAAGTAAATGAATATTTTGGGACATAAAACTCTTCTACAATCTTGAATGAGATCTGAGCACACAATTATTATTTTTTTTAATAGTCTCTTTTGGTTTGTCAACTGCAGAGAGGTTCTGCGCCTCCAGGGAAGTATTCAAAAGCAATGCAATCAAAGGACGGGGATGAGGATGGTTTGGAAGAGGAAGATGACGAGGAGCATGGAGAGACTCTTTGTGGAGCGTGTGGAGAGAACTATGCAGCTGATGAGTTCTGGATTTGCTGTGACATTTGCGAGAAGTGGTTTCATGGAAAATGCGTGAAGATTACCCCTGCAAAGGCTGAGCATATAAAGCAGTACAAATGTCCATCTTGCAGCAACAAGAGAGCTCGACCTTGACAGTGACTAGGATGGAAACTACTGTATATCCTGGGCAATTACATGACTGCGAATTTGTTTAGTGGTTTAGGTTTTATTAGCCTATGTCAATTCTAGCCTCTAGGTTCCCTGTTTCAGATGCTATATTAGGTATCTGAGTCTCCGTCTAAAATTGTTGTGTTTCCTTAAACTCGGTGGTGTTTTTAGACTTGACTGGACTAACATTGGATTTGATTCACAGTTGAATCTATCGGACCGATTTGATTTTCACAAGAATGCTCTGGACTTGTGGTTCATGGATTGAGCTCATGTTAGAGTGAAGATGGGATTTAGATCCGACCCGAATATGGATTCATCTCAGCCATAACAATTGATGGTTTAATGTATATAATCTTGAAAGATTGTCACATGATAAGATTGTCGCATGATAAAGGTAATGTGAAAAGAAAGATTGAAATTAAAATATTAGATAGGTAAGACTTTATAATAAGTTTTTGTATCTATATTCATGTGAAAAACTCGTGTAGAAATTAATTCCCTCCTATGAAGTTTCTATACAGGTTGGATACGTTCCTATTCATGAATGTGTCGATATAATATGACCAAAACCATAGAACCGGATGAAGTGAGGTGGATTCCGTAACTGGAGAGCATGGGCAAATTCAATTCGAACTTCGGCTTTTCACTATCTTATGCGCCGATGGTTTAACTTGCTCAGCTCCATTGAAATGTTTTTCCCCGGATTGAGCAGCTCACAGAATAAACAAAATATGTTGTCGGGGCTCGTGGATTATATGAGTAAGAGTACATCTCACACAGAAAGCGATTTTTATAAAAATTAATTTGCAATTTAATAAATGTATTATCTAGTTCCCTTAAAAATATATTATTGAAGAGGGGTTATAAGTAAATAATTTCTTCCCGATAAAGAAAGATCATCCATGTTTTAAATATAACTACAAAAGAGATTCATATCAAGCATCTAATAGGTTTCATGCTTTTATTAAATTTTTATAAAAAATAAAATTTGAGTTATATGTAGAATTGTTATGAACAACAAAATTCATATTTTAAATATTTGACACAGCTACGTTTACTTATACTTGAACTTGAAGCCTAACTTAAGATAATAAGATAAAATTCAAAAATTCGTATAAATGCTGTCATAATATCATATTACTTACATAAGGCTAGTATAAGATGGAACCTCACAATATTTTACATTTTGACGGAATTAAAATTAGTTGGAATATAGAACTAAAAAAGAAGATAAAGTAATGTAAACATATTTTGATTGAAAGTCTAATTTACCCTTACATGTGTAAAGAGGTTAATACCTTTTAACCAATCAAAAGGATTATCCGTGGCAACTACAAATTTCATTCGGGGAAATCATTTACAAACGAAGGAAAACTGAAAATTTCCGAAAAATTTGATGGCATGAAATATGTAACCGCCATTTCTGTTGGAAGAATTAACCATTTTTGTCTGGACTCACGCTGAATAACTAGCTCTTATCCTTTTATCTTGCGGACGAAGTGGACAGAGAAGGAAGATAAGGGATTGGCCCACTGTTTTTGTTGCCAATGGTTCACTGAAACGCAAATTCAATGTGGTCGTCCATTGTTGACACATGACAATTACACGAAAAAAAAAAAACATAGGTACGATGTTTTTTTTTTTTTTTGTGGACTAATATGTGCATATGCTTTGGTTAATCGAAAAATGGTTTCCTCATCAGCCCCTGTTTTCAGGAAAAGACGAGATTCAGGAGGCGCAGTTTTTTTAACCCTCTCATTTTGCTAACCGCCCCTTGATATAAAGCTTCTTCTGTTTATGTCCAGATACCCCTGTTCGGTTTATTATCAGTATCTTGTTGGGATTTAGTTTCTATTTGTTTTAACTTAAAAAAAAACATTTTTGATCAAATTTATTTTTAATTATTATATGTGATTGAAATATAGATTAGTTTTAATCATAAACTTTATATTAAGCATGTCATGTACACAACATCAAAAATTGATTTTGTCGCCCAAACGGGCCGACGGAAGCCACTTTTAAAACTCAAATAACTTTTGTGTAAACCAACATCTTTTTGGGCACATAAGGTAAAGTAAAATAAGAAATATAAAGAATGGAGAGAGATTAAAAAATATAATTTATAAAAAAGATTTTGTGAAAACACTCGGAAAAAGAAAAAACACTCGACAATTGTAAGAGATCCTAGTTAACATTTTTATCCGATTTACATTATATCAAAGCATAAATATAATTCCCAAACATGATCTTACAATAATAGAGTAACGAGTATGAGCCAATATGAAATATAACAAACAAAAAGAAAATATATAACTTGAAGGAACGTTTAAATTTTCGGAAAGACTTCAAACATGGCCCTGGGATTCATGTCTCTAGTCTCTACGTCCTTTGCGAGCCGCAAGGGCCAGAGCCCCATTCATTCCATCCTCCAAAGTTAAGTAAACAAAGAGCATAACCCCTAAATTCTAAAAGACAAGTCTTAAACGATAAGTAAAAACTATAGGTATTGTATTTGGTAAATGACCTAGAGAAGAAGAACAAGAGTTGAATATACAAGCTCATCATCAATTCATCATATTGGTGATAACCGATGACTGATGAGGTAGACTGTAACAAACTAAAAATGTTCACGAAGAAAAATCCAAGTAATGAAAGAAAGGATCCTAATTCCTACACAATCTTGTAATAAGCTTGGCGTATCATGTGGTCAACTTGTCTTGACTCTTGGTAGACAAACGTTTCAAAAACTCATAAGTAGTAATCATAGTTGTTGCAGACATTGACATTGAAGCCCATCTTGGACCCAATCCTCTGTAACAAGCAAGCAAGCCACCTTCCTTTACCAAATTCCTAACAGTTTGCACAAAAGTTAAAGGCCTCCTTCGCCCATTCTCTTCTGTATCCAACACCTGCAACCTTGTCTTGATCGTGTCAAGAGGCATTGTCACAATTGCTGAGACCCCACTTGCCATAACCGCACTCAAACCTTGCACTGCCACCATCGCCTTGGAATCAGGCCTAAAAACACCACACCCATTACCCAAACTACTACTATTATTCTCATCCCTCTTACCCATATAGCAACCAAAAGCACCCCATATGAGCCTATGGACCATAGAGTATGAAGTCCACCATACCGCATTGGATGGTGCATAAGTCAATATAGAAATCCCAAATCCCCTATAAAACCCTCTTGGTCCATCAGCACACAGAATCTTCCTAAACGCATCGAGGCCATTTCTGTAATTCTCAGAATTAAGATTAGCAAGAATACTTTTGCTTCCACCACTACCTTGAACCATAAGTCTCTGACTTACAACATCAATTGGGGTCCAAACTAACTGTGCAGCCATAGCAGAAGTAACACCAGCAGCAGCATTAGCCACTGCAATAGCCGAGGTATCTGAAAACCCTAGTCCAAGAAAAGCAGTGCCAACGTTGCTTTTTGTGACTTCAAGGGAAGCCATGTAAAGTGCACGAGCAGGGATGGTTCCCATCAAAGAAGTACCAAAACCTTTATAGAAGCCTCTGAAGCCTTCGTAGCGCAAAATGGCACTAGACATGTTGAGGCAGGAGAATTGTGCCGAAGAAACTTGTTGTCGGGTTTTCAACACGACCATAGGATAAAGAGCAGCTGAAACACCGGAAAATAAGGCGGCGCCTAGGAAGAAAAACTTGGACTTATCGAGCATGTGCCAATCAATCTCTGCTGGTAGGTGAATTTCTGAAGCCGAATCATCCTCGGCTGCACTCAAACTCATCTTCGCCACTTTGGAGGAAACAAAAACCAAATAAAGAAAAAAAAAGGAATCAACTACAAACACCTAGCCTCACTACACGACACGCCTTTCTTTTCCCTTCTTCACAGATCACAATCACGTTGGAGGGTCCACTTACCAACTTGTTTTCACTCTGAATTTTGATGGGTAGGCTTTGTTTTAAAAAAAGGACAAATTTTTAATAGAAAGAAAAATACAGCGAAAGATGGAAGAAAAAAAGAAGGCAGGGATTGAAGATGTAAAGTTTATAGGTACTTAAGGAAGAAGGTTGGGGTGTCGTAGAGAGAGATTTGAGAAGAGGCGTGGATCAGCGTGAACGAATGAAACATTTCTTGGCACGAGAAGATGGGTGAGAGTGAAGGATAGGTCTTACCAGAGATGTCATGATGTTGTTGTTTGGGTTTGTTATCTCTTAATTAAGCAACTTTGAGGCTATGGTGTGGTGGGATAAGAGCTAAGAGCTAAAAACCTAATGGCGGCACAAGCGAAGAAGGAATGAAGAGAATTTTCAGAGGGTAGAGGGTGATGATAGGATACACAACACAGGGGTGTGTGGGAGAGACTAAGAGAGAGAGGGGCTAAAGTTGGGAAAGAAATGGGACAAGGTTATGGATTTGAGTGAGGGTTTTGCGGATCAAGGAAATAGGCACGTGTCCGTTCATGTCTCGGTCACTTTTCGGTTTTGAATATTTTTTCCTAGTACTACTCAAATGAAATTACCTTGTTTATTTATCAATTTCATTATCCATAATAACCTTTTAAAAAAACTTATAAAAAATACTAAAATTTTAAAAAATCAATCTGAAAGAAACATGTTAGAGAAATGAATTGATTTGTGGTGTATATGTGGGGTGGATGAGCTTGCTCGCCCACTCACAGGTCAAAAGTGACAGTGTTATTCCTCCATTAACCATTTAGCCGTGTGTAAAATGTTAATGAACTAACCTTTCAGGCTCAAGTTTTGATAAAACAATCGCATTATGATGGGGGACCAATGCACCATGGCCGAAGCCGCATCATCATTGCTGCAGTTTAGGCATCGGTGCTCTGTAGTTTTATACATTAATATCCTTCTTGAAATTTAAACAATTTTAAAGCACTTTCTTAGAAATTTTAATAACAAAATATATTGATCTAGATGTGCTCTTTGTTTTGATCAAATGTTGTCATTTTAATTACATGTGATTATAGTATCGGCAAAGGTTTTTTTTTTTCAAAAATAATTGTTTGATTAAGGAGCTAACAACAACAATAACAATATAAGTTTGCACACAAATATATGTTTACAAAAAAAAAAAAAAAACTATGAATAAAAGTACCCATGTAATCATCCAACCTCTCTCACACCTCTCTCGTGTTTTATTTACCATGGCGCTAGTTTTTCTTTTCACGGCATGTCTTAAAATGAATTTTAATAATAATAAATATTTATTTACTACTCATTTATTTATATTATAAAATTATTTTAGTTTTAAAATTCTATTATTAATAACTTTTGACGATATTTAATTTTGATTATCATAGTACTGGTTGAAAATAAATTATAGCTTAGAAATATCACTTCAAAAATATGACATAACACTCAATTTTAATTTCAAGTACGAAACAAATGCATATATAATAAAAAATTTCGTTATTATAATTATTTTAAATTGATACTTAATACTGTATATTATTATTTTAAAATAATTTTTATTTCTCCCAACATACAACCTTAAATTTTAATAATTAAATTAAAAATTACCATACAATTTTAATATGATAAATGCACATACTTGTTTATTTAATACTATATTTATAAAAGGATAATTATTAAAAAAATATGAAAGATATAGTAATTTGTTTTTTATTCTTTACCTGTTTTTATTTAATTTATAGACATACATCCTAAAAATATGTTTCAAATATAAAAAAAATACTTAAAAAGTACTCACTTGTAATAATACAAAAAACATTTTTTTAACAACATGTATGTGTATATGCATGATATTACGGTTTAGAAAATTTAAGTGACGAATTTTGTATATGATAAATACTGTTTTGTCATATTGTAAATTCGAATTTATGAGATAAATATTAAATAATTCTTTAATAAACATAAAAATAAATAGAAAATTAAAAATTTTGATTATTAAAACAGAATCTCAAAAATTGTGAAGAACATAAGGTTAGAACAAAAATATCTAATAAACAAAGCTTCCTACCATAGTTGCATAAAATAAAAAGGATACAACTTGCTATAAATAGCTGAAAAGATGCAAATCTAAAAAAAAAAAAAAAAACTAAGAAAAGATTTCAAAAAGTAAGTTTGAAAGAAAAAAATTTTAGATTGAATAAAAATTGATAAATTTAATAATACAAACAGTGATAATGTGAAAAGACTAAATAATTAGGAGATAAAGCAAGCAACTAAATAATAGTAATGTGAAAATACCATAGTATTAAACTAGTATAAATTTTAATAATTAAAAATTCTAAAAAATAAAACAAATCACTTTAGTATTCTTGCTTTGGAAGAAAATTTTATTCTTAAGGTAACTTCGGCCCATCTAATTTTTTTTATCACTTTTTATATTATAAATAATTACTATATTAATTGAAGATTTTAAGACTTCGATACATTTACATTAGATTAAATTATATCACTTGTAACTCATTCATTAAAATTTAATAATATTCGATTAGCTTATTATTAACAGTATTAAAAATATTATATTTAATATTAATTTTATAAAAAAATTAAGTTAATTGAGGCACAATAAACTTGATATTAATATTGAAATGAATGACCTTCTAAATATAATAATACACAATAACAAAAATATACATTCAATTATTTTATTAAATCATTTATTAATTAGTTTAGATGGCCAATTCCTACACACTTGGGGTTCTTCGGTACTGTTTCTTAAATCCAACAAAGCCCTAAGCAATTCTGATTGATAAAACCTTTTCTCCGCCAATATCATATCACTTTATTTATTTATTTATTTATTTCGAGAGTATACATACATCCAAGGGAGTGTTCATAAAACATTTTCTGAGCTCCAAAGTTTAGGACTGTAATTGTCCATTGTGACATACCGTAAGCCCATTTTACCCATCCAAGACCCAAATAAAGGAGGGGCATTCCCTATACAGTGGAAACCGAAGTTTTGCAATGCTGTGGCAAAATGGGTATTTCAGATTTCATCCCTTCAATTGTAAAATTCGACAGAATCTAAAAGAGGCCTTCAATCATTAAAAACAGGTAAATAAAATGTGGATGAATTTATTGTTAATTGGTTAAGATTTGGAAAAGAAACGAGATACCCAGAAGCTTCAACAGCCTTCTTCACCAGACAATTCTAGACCCCACTCTTTCTCCCCATTCCAGAACACTCAGGTACACTGTTATCTTCAAGCCCCTATAAATACTCACCAACCCAATTGCTCCATTCATCACATTTGATTGAACCTTATCAGCTGAAATACTACATTATATTTAATCTCTCAAACAAAACAATTACTCAGCAAAAATATTTACGGAATGGACTTGAGGAACGTGGGTTTGAATTCTCCTCTATTTTCCATCCTCGAAGACATGCTGGATTTCGCAGATGAACCTGAACTGGAGAAAGAGAAAGGAAAGAGCAACCCGTCGAGAGCTTACGTCCGAGATGCCAAAGCCATGGCGGCGACACCAGCTGACGTGGCGGAGTACCCAGATCGCTACGTGTTCGCGGTGGACATGCCGGGAATCAAGGCCGAAGAGATCAACGTGCAGGTCGAGAACGACAACGTTTTAGTAGTTACTGGGGAGAGAAAGCGTAACGAAGAGAACAAGGACGGTGGTGTGAAGTACTTGACCATGGAGAGAAGGGTTGGAAAGTTCATGAGAAAGTTCACTCTCCCTGATAATGCCAACATGGATAAAATATCTGCAGTTTCTCAGGACGGAGTACTCACTGTCACCGTCGAGAAGCTTCCACCACCGGAGCCTAAGAGAGCAAAGACCATTGAGGTCAAAGTTGCTTAACATTTTTTTCTGACCATCATTTTATTTGTGGTGTCACATGTTACGTTAAATGGTTGACGTGGTGATTATGCTTTATGTGGATACTTGTTGGTTAATGATATGCGTGTTCTTTAATAAAATGACTTGTGAGTTTTACGTTTTTGTTTTAAATTCCTTGTTTCTTATCCTTCTCGGCCTCGCCAAACGCAACAATATGATAATTGCAGAAAGTATCTGGTATTATGGATAACGATGAGAAAAAAAAATAATAGAGATTAAAAATATGAATAACGATGTTTAGAAAGAAAATGAAGAACACTATCGAAACATGTATCAAGTATTTCATCGTGTATTAAAGAATTTTTGATAAATATTATTGTATAATTTTTAATGTAATATAACATAATTTTAAATAAAAAAATTTGTTTTAATTTTTCTAATCAACATGTGGCGGCACTTGTTACCAAAATACCAAAATATAAAACAAAATAAATGATGTAATAATAAAAACGTTAAAAACATTTAAAGTGAAAATAAAACCTGGTTTTGGAAAGCAAAAGAAAAGGCAGAGGGTGCCACGTCTGAGTATGGTATGAAAGGGGGAGGCACGTAGAACTGAGGCATCCTTGGGAAGAACCACGTATCACTGATTCCAGCTAAAGCCACCGATACAGCACCATCCTCATCTACGACACGTGGAAATCCAGCTTTGCATTCAATACAATGTCATTGCCACCTCACGTAATTCACCTCTCTATATCTATAACTCGAGAAAAAAGGCGTTTTCAGAACCAAAAATGGATTTGAGGGGCATTGGGTTGGACCCTGCTCTGTTGGATTTCCTGCTCGACCACGTTGATTTCTCCGATGAAACTGACGCCAAGTCACACCACGCGCCGTCTCGAACCTACGTTCGAGACTCAAAGGCGATGGCGAGCACGCTGGCGGACATACTTGACTACCCAGACGCGTACAAGTTCGTGGTGGACATGCCGGGGCTGAAATCCGATCAAATAAAGGTTCACGTGGAGGACGACGCGCTGGTGGTGAGTGGAGAGAGGAGAAGGGACAAAGATAAAGACCACAAAGATGGCGTCAAGTACCTTCGAATGGAAAGGAGACAAGGGAAGTTCCTGAAGAAGTTCGAGCTTCCTTGCAATGCCAACCCTGATGAAATCTCTGCATGCTATCTCGATGGTGTTCTCACTGTCACTGTCCATAAGAAACCCCCTCCCGAGCCCAAGAAGCCCAAGATCATTCAGGTCCAAGTCACTTCCCCCGAAGCCCAAAACCAGCCCGTGCCTCAGCCCCATGCACCAACCCAAGATGGAGGACAAGACCCCCAGCCCCAGGAGTGATTTCCGTTGTGCCAGCTCAGCTGTTTCTCCTTATCCTTATGTCTGTATCATCGTCGTGTCATTGTGTTGATGTATTTTCATTCTTCGTTTCGTACATGTCTGATACGTGCTACAACTTGTACACCCTACTCTCTGTTTTTCACGTTTATTCAGTAATGTAACTGTTGCTCCAACTCGTTTCTCTATTAGACGGAAATAAATATGATATGTTTCGAATGCCTTAATCCTTTACAATCATTATCTATTCCCGTGTTAATTGTTACTAATCTCCGCAGACTAAAAATTATTTAATTTTTCTAGGTCTACTGGAGAAGGACTATTCATTTAGTCGTAATCTGGTAATAGCCTGCCAGAAAATGGCCCAGCTCGCCCTTTAAAGTGAGTTAAATAAATTTTCTAGCCGATTCACCCAAATTAACATAAAAATAGATTAAAAAAAAGTATATATTTAGTAATATTTTATATTAATAAATAATTATATTTTATTTTTAAAAATGGGCTGACGGGCTTATTGATCAAACGGGCCAGTGGATGCAGTACTTTTAGCCCTGTCCACCCGTTGGGCCTAACATTCCTAGGAGTGGGTAGGACAATGCCCATAGTTCTACTTGTGGTCTTGCTTGGGGCCTGTATTTTCAGATTCAGGCCTTACATATTTTGTGAGGCAATTTTTCAGATCGAACAATCTAAATAGGCCCAACAAAAAGAGTAAAAAATTTTGGACAAAAAAGGAAAATGAAAAGCAAAACCAGCGACAGTTCTGGAGCCTACTAGAACCGTTACCGGGATTTTGAAAAAAAAACAAAGAAAGAAGTATTATTGGAATTAGAAAACGAAGATTGTGGAACATACTAGACATTCTTTGTAACTCTGGAAGCTCCCATTCTATTCCTCGATCTCTCACCTTTATAAATTCTTAAAACTCATACACATCTAAGCACCGAATCGAAGCTATCAAAAACAAATCACATTACACACGCTAGTCTCCGAAAGAGAAGAAAAGAAGGAAATGGATTTGAGGTTGATGGGTTTGGACGCTCCATTACTCCAGACTCTGCAACACATGATGGATATGTCAGATGACACTGAGAAGAGCTCTCATGCTCCCACCAGAGCATACGTGCGCGATGCAAAGGCAATGGCGGCTACTCCTGCTGACGTCAAGGAGTACCCCAACTCTTACGTGTTCGTGATCGACATGCCCGGGTTGAAATCTGGGGACATCAAGGTTCAGGTCGAAGACGACAACGTGCTTCTTATAAGCGGTGAGAGGAAGAGGGAAGAAGAGAAAGAAGGGTCTAAGTATTTGAGGATGGAGAGAAGGGTTGGTAAGTTCATGCGCAAGTTTGTGCTTCCTGAGAATGCTAACACTGATGCCATCTCTGCTACCTGCCAAGACGGTGTGCTTACTGTTACTGTTAACAAGTTGCCTCCACCTGAGCCTAAGAAGCCCAAGACTGTTGAGGTTAAGGTTGCTTGAGATTGTGGAATTTGAATTACACTGCAACCAACGTGAGCAGAGAAGCTATCTCTGGTTTCGTGTTTTGTTTTTGTGGCATTGTTTTTTTTCCTTTCCTTCCATGCCTTTGGTTGTAGTACGATCTCTGATATAATGCATACTTTGTTATGAATTTTACTTTAATTTCCTCAGTTCGTTTGTGTCGTGCTTTCTAGCTTTGACTGTACCTTGGCTTTGTGCATCTTTTGCTAGTCACGTATAATGATGCATCTTCTCAAGTAGTGTGGAACATCGTCTAGACAGAACGCTGTCATTTTTTTTACCTATGCTCGGGAAAATAAAATAGTTAAAAAAAAATGAATAAAATGGTTTCTAAATTCATGGAGGACGATCCCCACTTAGTAATAGTATTTGAGTGTATTATGATCAACGGTTTAGCATCCTTTTCATTTGTTAATTGTTCAGTCTGGAATTGTATAATCGAAAAAGTTTTTGGTTGGGGCATTGACCCCCTAATGGAGTAAAAAACTAATCACGATTTTACCTTTGTGTATATTTTTGGATTTTGGATTTTAAGATCTGTAATACTTGAAAGTTGCTTTGATTAAATAAGTGAATTATTGTTTTAAAGGTTATCTTTAGATTGAACGAAGGAGATGAAATGAGAAAAGGAGTGGAAATTAATGAAATGCTGTTTTCATTGTAAACATTGATAAAATAAAGATGGAACTAAATGAAATTTAACGGAATCAAAGTTATTAAATAAAAAAATTAAAGGAAGTACTACAAAAACAGAAGCACTAAAACTTCACTAGTATGATATGCATTTCCACCTTTGTTTATGAAGTCTCATTAATAGTATAAATCAAGTGGTGGATCATTAAAAGTGCGGAATTTTATGACCCTTATGTACGGAATTATCGTCTATTTGATTTGAGGCTTTTGTGTAAAGGGCAAATTGGAGAATGGTGAATGGGACCCTAAAATGGGATGACGGGAAGCACTCTTTGTGGGACCCTTTTTACATGGGGCCAGACATATTTTTCTTTTATGGAGCCTACTAGAAATTTGGGAATTATGAAGCGAACATGCTGGAACTTCCTAGGCTTTCTCTGTGTCTCTGGAATCTCCCATTGATGAACACACGGATGACTGATGACACTGACTCCCACATACGTGCGCAATGCAAGGGCAATGGCAGCTAGCTATATATGTTCTCGTATTTTGAGTATGCCAATAGTTTGTATCTTTCCGCCTATGCTTTTGGTTGTGATGTGTAATTTGATCATATGGGTAATGTGATGCAATTTCCTTATACGCACCTTTGTTACAGAAAAATGAATAATCGCCATGTGCCTCTCTTTTGCTACTGATAGGCATGAATCATTACAATCTTGGATTCCGTATAACCACATTGGATAACACATATGGAACATTTTTTAAGCTCAAATAAGACACAACTCCATATCAGTTTTAAATAACACACGGTATGCACAAATTGAAATTATGAAAATTATTTTTCACTTCCATTTCCTGACCATGCAATAATGCTGGATATGAAATCACTAATCCATTTTTAAATGATTCTACGAGTTCATTCGCAAAGTAGACAACCATATCAGGTTTGCTAAATTTTGCATATCCAGTTCAATTAGTGGAAATTAATAGATGCTAATGATAGTAAAGAAAATGACTTTCAACCCTCACTTGTAACATAACCCACAACTTCAAGTGTGCATGCATTTCCAGGGAATTCCAAATGTTCCTGCCAAAAGTAACAATAATTTTCAAGAAACCCTCCATAGGTCAGAAGCACAAAAGTAACCAGGACCTACAGAAAGCAGGCTTTGTACTTCTGCCACTCGGAAACGCAATCTTGTTTGTCCTAGCGACCCTTCATGAACTTCTCCGCGTGCCACCTTCGAAAATGGACTAACTCACCTCCCATCCTGGTTCAGGACTAAGGGCGTGTTTGGTGCAAATCAAATTCTTCCTAAAAAGTGTGACTTCATCATGTCCGTTGAAAAGCCCAACCGAACCGACTTCAAATATTCCAACGGTCGATAACTGCCACTCGCGCCTCTTTCTCCCTTGTGTATATATATGATCCATTCCGACATGCCTTTCACAGTTTTTATCGTTGTCTCAAATCACCAACGAATCGTGGCGGCGCTGTCTCTTTGGCGCCGCTACTCCCATCACCACACACACACGCATTTCCATTTTCACCGCCCCAAACCGCAACAAGTTTTGGAGGTGTGGTGATGGATAACGCGGGGTTTGTTCCGTCTCATGACACCAACATTTTCGATTGGAGCAACGCCACACTTGCCCACTTTACTACAAATGATGCACCCAATTCACTGTCCCAACAACAAAATACTCCTTATGGACTTGAACCCTTTATGGACCCAATCATCCCACAGGGTAATCTTCCCTTTGCGGATCCCATCATCCAACAAGGTAACGTTCCCTTTATGGATCCAATGGTCCAAGATCACTTCATGCACAATAATGGAGGAACAGGGAACTTTCTAGAGGGTCCATCGTTGCATGACCCTGAAAATGAGACTTTGGAGTTCAACGAAGTGTTACCACTTTCGCATTGGCCCCAATCACCAGCCCCATTCTTTTGCAGTTGCTGTCATGTTTTGAGAGAAATAATTCACACCAATGGTAAGCACGTTTTGAATTGCATGATCAAATTTAATACATTTCACCATAATTTTTACTCTTTTCATTCTCTTAAATTTGATGTATCTTAGGTACAAATTTTCAAAAGCTTGAGATTCATGGAACGCTCGGCTTGATTACCCATGCAATTCACCGTCAAAATATCACCGGTGCTGGTCCTAATAACGTTCAATATGAAATGATTGAGTACGTTCTAATTTAACTTCGAATTTTTGGTACCACTTTTTCTTCAACCGTATTTGCATGTCATGTCGCTCGACGAGTTCAACTGTCACAGTATCATAACTCGAGCGCTTTTATCTAAAACAAAATTTTATTGTTATTTTTTAGTTTAATAATAATTAAATTCAGGTATCTAAATAAATTTCTTGCATTCAAAGGTGTTGGCTATTGGTATTTTAGTGTTTATTTCTAAATCTTCCTTGCTTTCTTTTTTCAGCTTTTGCTACAGAAACCCAGATGAAATTAGGACTTTCCTAATAAATTACTGCGCACAGCAAGCTTCATCAGGGTACGTTATTATGCAAGATCCATTGTCTACCTATTATGAGGCCCTCTGCACGGGACTGGACTGGACTGAAGATTTAAGTGATGAATGCATCGATTTGAATCCTAATAATTCAGGTTGGTTTATAATTTAAAAACAGTATCAAAATATGTATTATGCTGATTTCAATGGTTATGTTTGTAGCAAATGAGATGGAGCAAGAGGCTGAGAATGGAACGGGTACTAAAATTTCGCTGGCGTCACAGGTTATACTTTTTATTCTTTAAAGAAGTGTTTGTTTTATTCCTTTTTTGAAAATCTATTTACTGACTTTGATTGTCTTTGGGTAGAGGGAGAGAGCAGGGAGGATGGAATTGAGTGATTTCAGCGATTACTTTCATCTACCAATTGAGGAAGCATCGAGACAAGTGAGTTTATGCCCGACGGTGGTGAAGAAAATATGCCGCAGGGCAAAATTAAAACGATGGCCTTATAGAAAGGTTGAGTGATTCGGTTACTATGATATTTGATTTGGTATGGATATTGAATGTGTGTGGTCGTTTGATGATGAGGATGTATGAATGTATGTATGTTGTTTCAGGTGAAAAGCATTACGAAGCAGATCGGATTACTGAGAAGAGCACTTGGGTCAGAAGATGCAGTGTCAAGGGCAAGAACTCAAGAGGAAATTAACAGACTTGTACAGCAAATGATTCGCCATTGTGGTGGAGTTCTCCCAACAGCAATAGATATCAACCGATTGTAATTGTTATGCATGGAGCGGAAGTACCTTGTACCTTATTATTTTTATTGTTTTGTATAAATGACTGTTGTTTATGTAAGTGGACTTTCTCAGGGGTGATAAATGTATGTGGATATTGTTTTTTTAGAGATTTTGCTACAAAATATTTCTTATTTAAAGTGACCAAATGGTTAGTTTGACCAATTACAGCACAGTTCTCTATATTCCGTCGAACGGAATAAATTTGTCATTAATTTTCTTTCTCCTTTCCCATGACAGAAAACGCACTATTCATACTAAATTTCTTCGTATCATAATCATTTGCCAGTTTATTTAGCAAATAAATCATATGCTGCTGGGAGAAGCAGTTATGATAATTTTTAATAATATAAATAGTGATAATATGAAAAAACTCAATAATCAGGAGATATAAATAACTAAATAATAGAAATGTGAAAATTATCATAGTATTTAAAGTAGTTTTAGTGATTAAATTCTTAAAAAAAAAATTAATAAAATCAAACACTTTGGAAGAAAAAATCATTCCTTAGGGTAACTACTACTATCTTTTTTTATTATGAATTCTAAAAGATTCAAGATAGATTAAGACTTAAATATACCTGCATTTAACTCTCATTCAACTTTATATAAAATGATGATCAATTTAAATTTGAGTATGGCAATAGTTTGTATCTTTCCGCCGATATTTTTTGGTTATGATGAGTAATTTGATCATATGCAATTTCCATAATTCCTCTGATTTCTATTTCTGATATGCTTTAGTTGCCCACTAATCACAGCAATCCATCTTGAGAGAAAACTTCCACTAAAGAGAGTACACGCCGTTGTTACAGAAAAAATGAATAATCGCCATGTGCTTCTCCTTGGCCACTGATAGACATGAATCTTGGATTCCGTATGACTAAAATGGAACATTTTTTAAGACAAATAATTAGATGACATATAAAATTTATGTCGTAGCCAGTTCTTTTATACCACTCCAATTTCGACCGCTACATGTTATACTTGCGGCGGTTCAGTTGATCATATAACCACATTCTGAATGGGTTAGTGCTAATAAACGGTACAGATTTTTTACTTTGAACGTTTTTAATTCTGGGAGAGCAGTAGGATGTTTTAGTTTCATTTTTATTTGACCTTGCCGAAAATTTAGTAGCATTCTTCTTGGTAAACAAAGCAATGAAGAAACCCTCGCCATCCTTGGCAGCATCTGTCCGAACCAGGCAAGCAGCTGAAAGGTAAGAAAACAAGCAGCATTAACAATAGCCAAGATGGGAGTGTAAAACGACCATAGACAGATAACTGCTGCTGCCTAAGAATAATACTTACAGCCTTCAAACACTGGAAGACCACGCCGCTGCCACTGGGGGAAGGGTTTTGCCAATTGGAATCCATATGATTCGGCTATGGGCAGAACAGATTTGATGACATCCTCATTCTCAATTTGGTTGATTGAACATGTACTATAGACAATTCTTTCAACTGCTGGAACTGTCAAATGAAACGATTCTTTTCTTAAATTACTGTGGCCCAAAGCTAGGCATAACTTTTAAAACTTATACATATCTAGCATATGTATATAATAACGAGGAAAAAGAAAGAAAGAAACCTGAAGTTCTTAGCTGCCTAACAAAGAATTTGGAGACTGTTAAATAAGCTTCTAAACAATCTAGAAACAAGAAAAAAAATAAAAATATAACTGACTAAGAGAATGATCTACTCACAAAGTAAAGCATGTTGAAGAGCCTTTCTCTGAAAAGCTGCAAGCTTGTTCAATCTTTCCATATCAGTATTCTGACCTAAGGAATCAAAAGTTGACAATTAAGAGTAAATAGCACTTTAAGATTGTGGGGGTTGGAGTGTTACAATGCTACAAACTAGGCTACAATACGTGGGTTATGAATTCAATTAAATTTATGCACTGCAATGATACCACTGGTAAATTTAAACTCGTTTAGGGGAACTTCCTATGCAAAGAAGTTGAGAGCTAGGTAGATACAATTGACAACATCTTAGAACTAAATGTAACCTGCTGCTTTAGATGGGAGCAGATGGTCAAGTCTTGAAGCAGCAGTACCAGAACCAGAGCAGGAAGGATCCAAAAGAATAGCTTTCACCTGTAATTAATGATCTGACAATAGTTAGACACACAAACAAATGAACAAAGTAAAACTGCAATCAGTAAGATAACGTAACAAATAACCACTAGAATCTAGATAAGCCGTATCTTCCTTTCTTGATTCATGAAATAACCAAGATGCTATTACAGAACTTCAAAGAATATCAATAGCACAGATTCTTAGCCATTTGATAAAATTCTAAATGGAAAACATTATTTCTCTTTCTCTAATCAGTGTACAAATTTTTTTTACAGAAACCAAGTCCTCCCAAAAGCATCAGCAGACTACACACTTCATCATTCAAACCAACAAACATGCCAGAATCCACCAGTCCCATTATCCAAATATCTTGTCCCTTATCAGAAATGGTAATTGTAGAAGAAAACAATGGAGTATTAAGTGTTTAAGTCTGATGACTACAGGCCAAAGCAATCAGTCAATCTGTTAGTACTTTGTAGCCACACCAGTATAAAACTCATGAAACACGAAAAAGGATACAACTGGAGAATACATTATATATACTCCACCTTAGAATATGAAGAGTCCTTGGGATTAATGTTCAAGAAATCCTCATTTAGGACATGTATGTCTGAGCTTGGGGTTAAGATTAATGGGTAGCAACACAAACTGAAAATTAAGAATAGTCTCAAAATTTAATGCTCCTCAGCTGTGGAGACATTAATATGCAGAAAAGAGATAAGGATTCTGGATAACTACTATGCATGTGATTTTAAATAAAATCTAAGTGGCTGATTATTGTGACATTGAAAGAGCTATCAATAAGCATCTATATACAGACATTGCAAAGGATACTGGAAGCACCGGATAGCTTTATAGTGTCTTTCAAACGCTTAATCCTTTCTTTTTGGAGCTCACATGCTATAATCCTACCCTTTCTCTTCATAAGGGCAGCAAGGTGGACAGTTTTATTTCCTGGTGCCGCACATGCGTCAAGAACCTTGAAGTACATTTAAAGTGCATGACTAGTAAGGATTGGAATAAGTAACACCAAATCTGGCCAACATCATTTTTTCTTCCCTTCTAACAATGATATTTGATAATTATAATTTATTTATATACATAACATAATAGTTAAAAAAATAGCAGGCAACAAGCACATACGTATGTCGTTGCTTCTTGTAAATAATTTATGCATGGGAACATTAGCCATTTCTTGAAGCCTTTCAACGTTAATAATTCATCAGCATTTATATATATATATAATTAGAAAAAATATTTCAAGGTAACATATTAAGCAATATGAGATTTCTAAAAAATAAAATAAAGCAATAGATGCCAAATATAATATTTTCTAAAACCATTACAATGGTTTAACGGCAATATACTTCCATATAATAATAATATCCTGAATTCCCAATTGATTAGTTGTCTGAAAAGGAATTGACCCACATAAACAGAACAATCAGCTCAACAAAGAATGAAATATACTTGGTTTCACGTTTGCTACAGTTTTGAAGGGTAGCTTGCTCCATTTTTAAAATCATGTTATCAAGTTGCATTTGATGAGATATTTTGGGTTACAATTTTTCATGAAACCAATCCACTAAAACTTCCCAAGTGTTTATTAATCTTAAGAGAAGCCTCTTTATATATAATGCAGCAATAACTCACCTCCCATCCTGGTTCAGGGCTAAGGGCTGGTGCTGCCATTGAACTTGCCTTACCCTTTACACAAGTTTGTCTCAATGTTAGCAAAAAGAATACTAAGAAGGAATAACAAGCAATTAGAATTGCCATGTCAATATATTTCTTAAATAGCAAAAAGATATTAACTTTTTCATCCCATGAGCCCTACATACAGATTTACAGATGATGATATGTAACTATATCTTCCTATGTCTTTGTGGGGGGGGGGGGGGGGGGGAAGTAAGGAGGGGTAATTCCTACTTGCATAAAGATACTTCCATTCTTCACAAGAGGATGATCATGTAAATCAGTGCCGGGTGGGAGTACCAGCAAGTCAGGCAGTAAATCATCCTTTCGAACCTATTTGACACGTAAAAAAATAATCCTTATCAATCAAGACGTAGAGCAATAGTTTAAATCAAGGAATCACATGACGTGATTTCTTTATGAATCCATTTAGATACTTTCCATAAAAAAAATAAAGAAAAAAATAATACAGGATCTTGATGACAGAAATATTTTGACAAAAATACCGAGTATTTTTCCTGAAGTTCATGAAAGGCAGAATCAACATCCAGTTTAAGTGTATTCACACGAACATAACGAGGTACAGAAACATCTGCATAAGAAAAATTAACAACTCCAAGTCATTATCACAGTAGAGCAGGAAGCCAGAAACTCTCGTCAATAACTATAGCTTCCATAAGAATACCCATTGAAAATGTATCAAATTTCAAAAGAATCATTTATAAATTATATGCATTAGAATCGGAACAATTTCATGCATGTACAGTGCAAAATCCAAAAAGCAATAATACCTAAAGAAATACAACAAAAAGAAAGAGATGAAAACTGACCAGGAACTTCATGAAGAGCAACCAACTGTTTAACCGTCTTCACATTTCTCTGTGACAAGAGCTGCTTCAGAGTTGAATGTAGAGCATCTTTGTGGCGCATAAGATACTTCTCTGCATCACCAACCAATGAAACTGCCTAGAAATTTATTGCTCTCAAGTTAGATAAATTAATTCATTAGTATCGAATAACACATTTCAATTTGCAGAAACACAAGTCCTTATGCAATACGACAGGAATACAAACCTGGCCGAAAAGGATATCATAGACAATGATATAAATCAACTCTTGTTGTCTCTGTAAAATCAACGGCAGACGAGAAATTGTGTCATAAAACACGTCAACGAAGAAAGAATAAAAGTCAATGCGGTTAGGTTACACTATTACCCTCCACTTGGTGTTGAGAATAGAAGCAACTTCTAAGACATCCTTGATGATGGGAAGATCTGGGGAAGAAACGAAAAGGAACGCGTTTAGGAAAAATGAAGAACGTTTGAGAGAGAGAGAGAGAGAGAGAGAGAGAATGAGGAAGTTAGTTACGTTTGAGGGTTTGACAAATGAGAGCAAACGTGGCCTTCTTGTTTCTGATGGAAGGTTGATAGATGAGGGATTTGATGGAGGCGAGAGCGCGGCGCTTAGCATCTCCTTCGAGAACCACTCTCAACACCTTCGCTGCCTCTCTGCGTGCGAAGTACGACGACCTCTCTGCACCCCTCAACTTCGCCCCTTTTTCTTCATTTACTTCGCCACTCTTCGTCTTCTTCATTCACAGGGTTTAGGGGTTTTGCTAAGCTCAACAGCAAAGACTTAACACCGTTTCATCTGTAAGGTTGTGTCCAAGCACTTGGTTTTTACCATACTCATTTTTTGTTGGTTCACATACGGGGTAGTTTTTCATCTCTTTTTTTTTTTACATCTCTGTTAAACAATACTGTAATTTCTTCTTAAATAAATTCTTAAAATTTATTTTTAGAATAAATAATTTTAAAAAATAATTAAAATTAATTTTGAAAGTTTAAAATTCTATTTCTTAATTTAATTTTAAAATTGATTAATAATTTTAAAAATTAATTTTTGGAAGTGTAAAATTTAATTTCAAAAATTAAGTTTTAGAATTGTAAAGTTTTAAGTTCAGAAATTTATTTTTAAAAGGGTAAAAGTTTAATTTTTCAAACTTATTTTTAAAAATAACTAATAATTTTTAAATTTGTGAAAATTTAATTTATAAAAACTTATTTTTGGAAGAATAATAAATTTATTTTCAGAAGAATAGTGACACTTAATAAGTCAATGCAGCTTATAAATATATTGTTTTTATAATAATTAAAAATTATGTAATATATTAAAAAATAAAGTTCGACAAATGTGATAACAAAAGAAAAATAAAACTATTGTATTATTTGTCCACTCAGTTCCGAAGTTTTAGTTAATAACTATTGTATAATTTAGATAAAAATATTACCATGTCACATTTTCTATTTATTAAAATAACCTATGATTAAATACATTTTTTGCTATAATATTTTATTTAATTTAAAAAACAAACTTAATTTATTCTTAAAAAAGAACTATGAAAACTAAAATGGGACATTTCCTCCTTTACATTCTATTCAAGAGAATAATTTTTAAGTTTTTCTATATGTTTATAATATATTTTTAAAATACGTGTATAAAAGTTAAATAATAAAAATAATAACGAATTTAGTTTCTTTAAAATAAAAAATTAGAATGTAATGAAACTCGTAATTATGATGAGTCGAAGATAAGTTTCAAAGAGACACGATAAGAAGTGTATGTGGTGCTGCCATTCCCAGTGGAAAGTACGAGAATCGCAATAAGGTTCCATTGATGGAAGGGATAATGCAGATTGCTTATGATGCTACGGTGAAGCTGATGCTCGCTTCTCTGGAACGCAACTTGCTCCCTGACGCTGTCACCAGGACACTCACGCGCCTGCTGTTGGCTACGCGCCTTCGCTCTAGTTACAAGCCATCCTCTGACCTTCAGCTCTCCGACCTCGTCCACTTCGCACATTGTACTCTTCAGTTACCTTTTTCTTCTCTTTCACTCTTCTCAATTGTAATAACCGTTGCACAAAATGTCAATGTCATGCATGCGTTATCAATTCATTTTTTATACTCTTTCAGCTTTGCAAGAGATGCCAATTGCAATCAGCACTGATAAAGCAAAATCTCAACATTATGAATTACCAACTTCCTTCTTCAAGTTGGTACTCGGAAACAATCTCAAATACAGGTATTTTTATCCTTTTTGCTGACACTGAAAATTAATTTTACCCTATTATTTTTGTATTTTTTTTATGTTGATTATTAATCTTCTTTGAGTATAATTCATCGATTGAAACTCCTTTCTCTACAGTAAATTGCTATAGTTGTGCCACCCTTCTAAGAGAACATTGCAGTGATGGATACATGTAATTTGTCACTATAATACAAGAGCCATAATTTGTAAAAATGAATACATAAATTGACATGTGATGTCACTCGTACAAGCAAGAGGAATGCTAGCAAAACATTCTTTAATATACTTTATTATTATATGAAATCCATATGGGACTACAATTACGCTGACACTAGATCATTTAACGAAGTCAGTGTGAATTTACTCCCGAGCGTGTTGGAAAAGAGTGTGCTAAATAATGTATTTTTTGTGTTTCTCTAAAATAATAGCCCAGTTCATTTCTACCTTGCGGGAAGTTTTAATTGTAATAACCTTTAAGGCTTTTCTTTCTAATCCAAAAGTACCAAGTTCTATTAAGTTTATTGATGTTTCTGAAGAAGCTAAATGAGAGAACTTTTAAAAAAGCTAAGGTGCAGTTTTTGTCATTAACCTTCCCATATGTATATAAACTGGTGCAGCTGTTGTTATTTTTCTTCTGCCTCAAAGACTCTGGAAGATGCTGAAGAAGAAATGTTGAAACTGTGCTGTGAGAGATCAAACCTGAAAGATGGCCATACAGTTCTTGATGTTGGATGCGGTTGGGGATCACTGGCTTTATACATTGCCAAGAAGTATACTAGTTCCAGGGTTACAGGAATCTGCAACTCCACAACTCAAAAGGCTTATATTGAGGAGAAGTGCTTGTATGCTGCTTGATACACCACTGTTTGCTTTTAGCATTACATATGTCATTTGGTTAACAAAAATCTTATTAAGCAGATGACTCTTGCATTGGAACCAATATTTAGCTTGCAAATTAAATTAAATATTGTATGATGATCAAATCACTTCTTTCACTGCTCTCTTGTCAGGAATCTTCAGCTAAAAAATTTGGACATAATTGTTGCTGATGTTAGCACATTTGAAATGGAAGCTTCTTACGACAGAATATTTTCCATAGAAATGTTTGAGGTTAGAATTTATGAGTAAATAATTTGCATTGAAGCCATGTTTTCTTGAATTCTAGAGTTTGTTTTGACTTTTGACCTTGACACAGCATATGAAGAACTACAAAGACCTTCTAAAGAAGATATCCAAATGGATGAAAGATGATAGTCTTTTATTTGTTCAGTATTTCTGCCACAAAGCATTTGCTTACCACTTTGAGGTGAACCTGATATACTGCTGTTAGACAAGTTAGCCATCTCGGTTTGTTGGCTGTTTTGTTTATGATATTGGTCATTACCTTAACAAGAGTAGTGAGATTTCAACTTTCAAAGATACCATTCATTTACTTATTGGCTACTTATTTATGAAGGACAAAAATGATGATGACTGGATTACGAGATACTTCTTTACTGGAGGAACAATGCCTTCAGCAAATCTACTTCTTTATTTCCAAGTAAGTTTGATATGCTACTTGTGCAGCTGTGTTATTACCTGACTATATTGCAGAACTCCTTCAAAATTTTGTTGTGTTTCCTAAAAAATAAAGATGAAGGAAAATTCAGAATAAAAAAATGTATACTTTGTTTCTTGCAAAAGGAAGAGCAGAAGTACCTGCTATATTTTTGTGTAACACCTTTACATCGACTCCACATTTTGCTCACTTTTAATTGACTTCTTTGGTGATGTATGTAGGAGGATGTTACAGTCACCAACCATTGGCTAGTAAATGGGAAACACTACGCACAGACCAGGTTATTGTCAACTAAATTGCTCAATGACTCACGGCAATTTTGTCATATTCCTTTGATAGTTTGATTTGTTTTTAGAGCAAGTTTGAACCGTATCACTGAAGCAAGATAAATTTATGTTGCAGTGAAGAATGGCTCAAAAGAATGGACCAGAGAATGGCCTTCATAAAGCCAATTATGGAATCAACGTATGGCAAGAATTCAGCTATCAAGTGGACTGCCTATTGGAGAACATTCTTCATAGCTGTAGCAGAACTTTTTGGATACAATAATGGGGAAGAATGGATGGTTGCACAGTTTCTTTTCAAAAAGAAATAAACCTTATTTGAGAATGGCGTTAGGACCAAAACGCGGCTAAACGAGGTTGCACGCTTCAATAATGTTACATACTTTTTTTATGAATAGTGACTTATTTTATATTTGATTGTCTGTCTTTATATTTACATCTTTCTGCTTCAGTCCTTGGTGTCCGGCGTGATTTTTATCTTAAATTTGGGGAGAAGTCCAATTCAACCTCAGAACTTAGGGTCGTGCATATGCACTTTTGTTCGTAAAATTTATGCACCTAGGTCCTTCAGTTAGATTTTCTATCACTTTGTAATGAAAATGGTTATGCGCATGACCAGATCTGTGCCAATTTTACTTAGAAGTTAATCATGTTCTAAAGACATGGTCTCCTTTCTTCCCTGACACTTGAGGCTGCCATTTTATGATGTTGTTCAAACGATAGGATGCACCACTGAACAAAAGGTTAAGATGAACAATATTAATGGAGCTTCGAATATTTGTGTTCTTTATGGGGCTTTGATGTCTTTCTTTCTTTTGCACAAGATCATAGGCCCAATAGCACTTGGAAAAATAAAAATGTTAAATCATGAGAGCATTGCAATACTGCATAATAGGTGGTCAGAAAAAAATTAAGCAATCATGCTCAAATCAAAATAAAATTTACACAGTAAGATTAAAACTGGACAAAACCTAAAATTATATGCTTTTGTCACAAAAGAACTTCGACAGAGTCTCAAAATAAAAAGGCGTTTTCTTTCTTTCTTTTTTCCTCCTCTTTTTGAATTAGCACAAGTCATTACAGTGGAGATGGCCACATATTTGACGATGTTGTGCAGTGGTGCGACTATCAGAATACTTGAGCGGATTCGATTACAAGAACAAAATGTGATAGGGAAGAGGATGGTCGCAGGACGATGAGAAAGTGAGATGGTAATACGATGAAATATGAGAAGGAAATGATAAGGATAAAAAGAGACTCTCGTAGAAAAGAAAAGAAAACACACCTAATGTCAAGGACAGATCTAGAAACCCAGTGAATGGGAAGCCAAAAATAGGCACATGTGTGGATCGATGTTATATTTCAGTAGACATGGTTAGTTATTCAATCCTATAATGTATAGCATTAAAAAAAAAACTCATGTTTGCATTTAAAAAATCATAAAAAATCAAAACTCTTGTTTCAGTCACGTAAATGTGAAACTAAACTCGTACCAAATCGACTTCGACGTATATGCTATATTGTTTTGGTATGTATTAAAGACTTTTTTAGTTTGTCGTCAAAGATTAATTTCTTTTAAAATAAAAAAAATTACCGAAACATATATAATCTCCATTATAATTAATATATTCAAAGCACATAACTACTTATTAATTCTGTTAGTCTTATAAATATACATAATTATGTTACTAAATTATATAATTATATATATATATTTGACAGGAGTATGCTGCAGTGCTTCAACGGGTTCAAGAGACAGAACAAAGGATTTCAGAGAACCCTAATGACAACACGGTAGCTGGTTTATATGGTGGCTTGATGCTGGCGCGGTATGTTATAATGGTACCTGTGGGAGATAATAAGGTTTGGTTACTGTGTGCCAGATACAAGCGTGATGGGTTGGTTGGAATTGAGCATCAAAAAGTATGGTAGCCTGTAGCATAAAAATCTAAAAGAAAGACCGAAGTGCACTTAGAAATGCTGAAATACTGAGGCGTCTTCCCACAGATTTTGATTTATATTTTGTTTCTAAAATACTACGGAACAAACAAATATTTGTTTCAAAATATTTTTAAAAAAAATCTGGGAGATGTATTCATGGAAGAAAATAACTTTTACAAAGCATATTCCTCGCTAATTCACCCTCACCAAGTTCTCATTTCACCCTTTGTAATAAACCATAGATCCGAGGTCTCTCACGGAATACAAAGCTTGCACTGTTCAAACAAACCCCTAACAGACAGGCAGCGAAACATAATACCCCATCAACAGTGGTAGTCACATGAATAAGCTTCTTTCTTCTGTGTCGTTAAGTCGATGAATAAGCTTCTTTCACTGTTAGTTAGGTACCTGCATCGAAATTACAAACTCATAATTAGGCCAAGGGAATAAAATAGAGAGATGCTTTTAGCCAAGGAGAGTTTACATAAGTTTGTAAGGATTTACATAATCCAGCAATAATATTTAAAAAAACAAAAAAACTATTACAGCATCCAAACATAGTGTTGGTTGGGAAATCTGTTTGTGCAACACTTCTTTGATATCCGATAAAAGATCGACAGTGTTGATTACTAATGTACAAATGCGATGACACTATAACAGCAGCCAAAAAATTTGCTTTCACAAAACAGAGTTGTGAAAGAAAACAATCAGGCCCATAATCTAGCATCACGAGCTTTAGAGATCTGTAATAGGAACAGCTTAGAATGAGCTGGAGGCAATCGTTAAACCAAACCAAGAACCAAAATCTTATAAATCACAAGATGGTTTGATATCTCAGAACACAAACAGAACATAGCAAATTCAAAATCAATGGACAAATTTACGAATCTCAAGATGGGTTCATAGCTTGGCACACAAACAGAATATATTTAGTCGACAAATTCACAAATCATGAAGTTCAGAAATACTGAAGATAATGGTGGATGCTGGGTTCACCTCATTGATGCTTGATTTACCTCTTTCACCCTGGGACATGTGCTATGGTTTACTCACAAGTAGTTGGAATAGCATGCCCACTAGGTTCATTGCAGAAAACAGTGATGGGTTCACTCATAATAGGAGCCTAGGATGAAGCTGTTCTGGGTTTATTCACACTAGGACACAGCTGCATTAATCACAACATGTTTGATCAATTTGCAGAAAACAGACACTGGGCTCTTTCATGAAGACTTTGATTGATTTGTTTTCTGTCTGGTGTCATCAATCTACAGCTCCAGCAGAAAACTCGACCCTGAGTTTTGTTTTGCATTTTCTTGGCAGCACTGTTGTTTTGGAAATATGGGGCAAATATTACATTTTACTCTTTTTTAAACTGGTTCACTCATAGACTTGCAATTTTGTGCAAGTTTGAATGGTTCTACTTTAGTCCACCTGAGTCCACGAAGAAACAATCTGTAATGCAAGGTTTGATTTCTCTACGTTGAATAGTAAACTTGTATAATTCTTCGAGCTGACTCGCTAGTTAGACAACCGTGACAGGTTTCTAAATTTCTACGAATAAGGGAAGGCAGGCTCCTTGTCTTTAATTAATAACTTAATTCAACTTGATATATAAAATTTAATAGATGTTAATGATAATAAATAAAATGGTTTTCAACCCTCACTTGTAATATAATCGACAACAGTTTGGGAAGAAATTTGAGACATAAGTAAGGAAAGAAAGGTTTGTGACAGTGTGCAGTCCTTTCAACCCTTTGGTGCATAAATGCATTTAGTTGGAACACAATGCTCGCAACTTCAAGTGTGCATTGCTGCTTCCAGGGAATTCCTTGTCTGACTTTAGCACATAGTTGATCTTTTCTTGTTTATTGTTTTTCGTTTCCTTTACCTTGGAGGAAATCTTTGCTACACCTAATTGCATTTTCCTTTTTCCTCTCTGATAAAACTCTTTTTTCCATTGCTACAGCCTAATTGCAGTTTCCTTTTTTCTCTCAGATAAAATTTCTTTTTCTATCCAAAGAAAAAAAGGAGCATGAGAAAGCTGTTCAATAATACCCAGGTGAAATTGATATAATAAACTGAGGCCTCAGCCATATATAAGAGTGTCTTTTTGTGACTATTATTTATGAGTTCAAAGGGAAGAAGCTTGTAAGAGAAGAACATGAGGCCATTGTATAATGAGGGGAAGAATGGAACTTAAAGACAACCACTGAATTATGCAGCAAAAATAAGCAAACACCAATGCAAATAATTGTTGCCAATGGTTAGTGACTCAATCCTGCTTAAAGCTTAGGCATGAACATCCAACTCTGTCAACAACTCACTGCAGCATCCAGTCCTGTCACTTGGCATCCTACCGAAGAACGCAATTTCCTTAGCTTTGCTCCCATTCTTAAACCTATTTATCCTATAGCCTTGGTTTCTATCATCTAAAAAAATACAAGAACCCCTTTGTTTTAAAGTTGGATAAATTTTTTAAATTTGATGGAATTAATTTTGAACCGATAACAATAATTGAAATGTGTATCCAAATTAATTCCAACCACAGTTTCTTTGAATGCATACAACAGAATTACAAGCTAGGCAATGAAGATACACAGATGATGTAGGAATCACCTTAGTCCCAAAAAGTTACTGAGAAGCAACAACACGATCTTGAACTGTGTCTTCAGCTTCTAAGAAACGAATCAGATTTTTATCTTCCAAATGTTCCTGCCAAAAGTAACAGTAGTTTTCACGAAACGCTTCATAGATAAGAAGCACAAGAGTAGCTAAGGACCTACAGAAAGGCAAGCTTTGTATTTCTGCCACTCGGAAACGCATTCTTGTTTGTCCCAGTGGCCCTTCATGAACTTCTCCGCATACCACCTTCGAAAATGGAATTAGGGTTTTGAGGGAATCGGAGAAAGAAACAATTTGGTAAAAAGAATGAAACCTGTTGAAGCAATTGTGGTATGCGTCACGAAGAAGAGCACAAGGAGAGGTTGAAGTGAAAGATTTGGAGCCTTTCTTCTCTCTCATGGAAGAACCAGTTGCCGTCGATCGTGCTCATCTAACAACGAAGCATTCATTGAAATGCAAGGATTTAATTTACATCTTTTTGTTGAGTAAATAGCCGTCTCAATCACTTACCAGCCTTTTTTACCGTAACAATACAATTTTAACAATTATTTGCCAAATTAATATTTACTTTTAGAATTTAACTTTGGATCACTTTGTAATTAATTGAAATATATCATAAATATAATTTTTATATGTTATTATAAAAATTAATAATTTGTGTTAATATATTAATCCATGATTAGATTACAGCATAAAAAATTTATATTGTATATATTAAATTAAATTTTTATTTTTTATATAATTTGTATTATAATTTTAAATAACATACTTATGATTATAAATATGCATGATAAAAAAAAGGAAAGTGTTAGGACTGATGTTATATAAGTTTTTTAAAATCAACGACAAATATTAAATATATATAAGTTTTTTTTTTATCATTTAATTTTGCCTTAACATTTTAACATTGTTCAATTTAAAAAATATTTACTTGGACATTTTGTGCAAGAAACTGTAGTTACAGATATTAATCTTCGTTACTTACATATATATTAAGGGTGAAATCATAGTTATATCTATTATTGACATGCTTATTAAAAAAATTTCAAACAAATTTACATTCTTTTTTTTTTTTTTTACTTAAATTGATAAAGTGAGACAACATTCACAGCAACACAACACAATGGCTAACTCTTTTGAAAAAAAGGTAACAATATGTAGGAGTAGGAATTTTTCATTCATATGCAACAAATCAACCTAAAACCAATGTCATGCATTTTTGCATTAATGTTAAATGAAGAATGTTTGCCTACTGCATATTTAGTGTGTAATATATTTTTTAAATATAAATACGAGTGAATTAGTAAAGTTAAACATTTAAGTATAATTTAAAAACAAGTATACACATAAAAGACATTTAGTGAGAATTGAAAGAAAAAATTTTAATCATAACATTATACATAAATTAGTTGGTAACTTATACAATGCATAAATATTTTAATTTAAAAATAATATATACACAATTTAATATTTTTAAAAATAACTCTTCATATTTTATCATACGTGATGAATATTAAAATTGATTTCATAGTAAAGTGAATGTTTTAAAATGATATATTACTTGATATTGTTATTTTAACTATTTTTTCATTTAATACATTTCCTATCCCTCTTACATTAAATGCTTAAAAATATTATATAAAGTAAATTTAATGTTTTTGCATAATTTGTCCACGAGACACAAATAATCCCAACATTCCAAAATGTTAATCTCATTTTAAAACACATGCAAGTTAAAATAATTAACAAAGTACTTGCAACTTTTTTATTCTCTTGACTAGGAGTTTAACAGTATACTCTTTTTCTCTTCTCTCAGTTCCAACAGTTTCATTCATTTATTCTTAATTATTTATCCGAAACTCAATGTCAATAAGCTACTTTTCTACGTACGTAAAGACAGATTACATTTTTATTTATAAAATACATATCTTTTTAATTATTCTTTCAGTTCCAACAGTTCCAAATAACAATATAAAAGACATAACCAATCTTATAAGCAAATGATTTTAACACAGTTATAGCAACTCCTTTAAATTTTGTTCGGTAGGAATAAGTTGTTAAACCAAAAACTGGTAAAATATCATTTAATTTTAAAAACATTTGAAGAAAAAAATTAATTGACTATATCATTAATTGAAAGAATGCTAAAAAACATATAAACAATAAAACTAAATAACAAATATTGCATTCAAAATAATGATAAAAATAACTTTTATATTTTATTCAATAAACAAATTTTTTGACATTTTATTTTCAAGTAATAAAAAAAGGATAAAAAAATAGCGTGACAGTGCAAGGGTTAATTATCTAGCTAGAGGTACTGAGGGAGCGACGTCGTACTAAAGATGAGGTAAATCCAGATGGGGCGGTGCATCTCTCTGTAAATTGCCACCCAAACTCATTTCTCTCTAACTCCTATCTATATTCTCAGTCTCTCTCTAGATAGAAGAAAGAGATGGATCAGTTCAAAGGGCAACCTCGTCTTCCAAAATTCGCCGTTCCCAAACGCTACGACATTAGACTTAAGCCCGACCTCGTTGCATGTCGTTTCTCAGGTTCTGTCGCCATCAACCTCGACATCGTTGCAGCTACCTCTTTCATTGTTCTAAATGCCGCTGAACTCTCCGTCAACGACGATGCCGTTTCTTTCACCATCCAAGATTCCTCCAAGGTTCTCTCAATTCTCAATTATCGTTTCGTTCACCATCCGCGATTTAGAACTGTGCAGTTCTTGCATGCTTTGTAGACATTGCAAAAGTATCTCTTAGAGTGCTGGATCAACTCGTGTCTGGAAGAGATTCAAGATTCATAACTGTGCAGTTCTTGCACCCGTTCCTTGAATTCATTAGTATGCTGATGTAGAGTCTATGGATGTCTATGCAGGTTCTCAAACCTTCAAGCGTTGAACTGTTTGAAGGTGATGAGATTTTGGTATTGGAGTTCCCCGAGAAAATACCCATTGGGTTAGGTGTCTTGGCCATTGAGTTTGAAGGAATCTTGAATGATAAAATGAAAGGGTTTTACAGAAGGCAAGTGTTATTTTATTACTATTATTGTTTGCTTGATGTCAAAGTTCGTCAAGAATTCAAAAGCAAAAATATTTTCCTGCTTGAGGCCGCGACATTTTGATCATTGGTTGTCGATTTTGTTTCAATTGCTCTTTTTAAAACCCTAGTGTTGCCTAAAAATGTTTTTTCTCCCCCCTAAACACTAAGCAATATATGGCATTGTACAAGATTTTTTTCCCTTATATTACTAACTTTCTGAGGAATTAGATGGATCGCAACTTCCAGTTTTTGTTTTTAGTAATTTATACGAATACTTTTATGTGCAGTACATACGAGCATAATGGTGAGAAGAAGAATATGGCAGTTACACAGTTTGAACCAGCTGATGCCAGGCGATGCTTTCCTTGTTGGGACGAACCTGCTTGCAAGGTTTATCTGCCTCACTCTCTTCACTTCTAAATGAACCTTTTTATAAGCATCCACAAAGCTAGAATATTATATTGTTGCAACAACAGAAGCTTAAGACTTCAAATAATATGCTTCTGTTTTGTTCATGGCTTGGGTGGTTAGGCCTAAGCGGGTGGGAGACAGATCTGGATGGATTTTGGTGGTATTCAACTTGCTTTAATGGATGGTGAATACCTTGAAGTTGGACCCACTTTTCACATCATGTTGATCTTGCAGGCTACTTTCAAGATCACATTGGATGTTCCTTCTGAGCTCATTGCTCTTTCCAACATGCCAATTGTTGAAGAAAAAATAGATGGAAATCTCAAAACAGTTTTGTATCAAGAATCGCCAATCATGTCCACATATTTGGTTGCAGTTGTTGTTGGTTTGTTTGATTATGTGGAAGATCATACCACTGATGGTAAAATCATGTTTTCTCCGTACATTTTAGGTATTGGTTTTAGTACTGACTTTCCTGTTCTTCTTAATTGAATTGAACATCTCTATAGGGGTCAAAGTTCGAGTGTATTGTCAAGTTGGTAAAGTAAACCAGGGTAAATTTGCACTTGATGTTGCTGTGAAAACTTTGGAACTATACAGGGGGTAAGTGTGGAGCTATTAAAATACTGTGCTTAGGCAGGCAATTTATCTGAAATAGTCTGGGGATTTTTTTTTATTTCATCAATCCATTGCATGGCTGCAAATCATTAGAAAATTTCTTTTCTTTTTTTGGGATTCAAGGTCAAAACTATTTAACCCAAGCAGCTTGACAGAAAAAAAGGATTTTTTTTTTTTTTTTGAAAAAGGACATATTAACAGCTTCAAAACAGGCAGGTGAGAGAAGCTTACAGAGGTGTATAAATCTTATTGCCAATTAAAGTACTTCCCTCTTCTCTTTAAGTTACTGCCATATTGGCAGTCATAATTAATTTGATCTTGCACTTTAATTTAACTCTGGAGGGGAGGCTTGGGCATCACACTGCCATGTAGGTTCTCAGGAAAAGTTTGGTTTGGTATCCTCTCCCTACAAATTTATGGCACAAAAATCCTTTGTTGGCTTGTCTTCCTCAATACATTCATTGCACCTCAAAAAATTAACACCCCAAGCCAAAATTAATTGAAAAAATCATTATTAAGTAAACCTTCCGGCCTTGTAGCCAGCTATCAAACCTTTTAAATATTTATCCATCTTTTTCTGCTTCTCTGCATTGATCATCAATCATGTTGTTATCCTTCATTTCTGGCAACATAGTCATAAGTGGATAATAGTGGATTGTATTTATGTTATGTAAATATTGATGTTAGTCTTCTTGCTTGACTATATTTATAGATATGCTGTCACGTTTATCATTCACTAATCAACTATGATAATTTGACAGTTACTTTGCCACTCCCTACTCCCTACCAAAATTGGATATGATTGCAATTCCTGATTTTGCTGCTGGTGCTATGGAGAATTATGGTTTGGTTACATATCGGGAGACTGCTTTGCTATATGATGATCAGCATTCTGCTGCTTCAAACAAACAGAGGGTACTTGGCTAATCCATTCAGTTGCTATAGACTTGGCTGCTTGAGTTTTCTTATCTGAATTTTAAAGCTAGTTATTCTATTGCTAACTGATGGAAGAAAAATATTCCTTTGGTTGCTTTTAAGGTTGCGACTGTTGTAGCTCATGAACTGGCTCACCAGTGGTTTGGCAATCTTGTTACAATGGAGTGGTGGACACATTTGTGGTTGAATGAGGGGTTTGCAACATGGGTAAGTTGTGTGGTTCATACATGCTCATATTGTTCCCATTATAGAGGCTGCCTGTGGATTTGTTGCTTTTATTTTGTTTTTAACTTTATAAATAATTGATATTCTTCTTCTTCTTCTTTGGGTGTGATCAGGTGAGCTATTTAGCAACTGATAGCTTGTTTCCTGAGTGGAAAATATGGTCTCAATTTCTTCATGAATCTACAGAGGGTCTTAGGTTGGATGGACTTGCAGAATCCCACGCAATTGAGGTATTGTTTAATTTTTGAAGTTTTTTGTGGT